AAAATGAGAGAAAACTAAAAGGTTGTTTGTAATTTTTTAAAACAAATATTTAATTATATTATATAATTTAAATTTATTATATATTATATGGAAAAAAAAATTGGCTCTAGCTCCGACACTGATGACAACACGGCTTCAGGTAACCAATCATGCATCTGACTTGAATGCTCCGAAGAAGTGGTGTCTGATAAGAAGCCAGGTAAGGAATCTCGTCATTTACTATTTAACTCACCTATCGTTATTTAACAATATCCTAAATATAATATTTCAACTTCTAACACCAATTATGAGATGTCAAAGCACACTATTCAACAATTATAACAAATTCATTTAAGTGGGAATGTCAAGAATCCATTATTACTATTTGTAGGTTGCATGATTTATAAAATATGATAATGCTATTTTCTCTATGATTGAACTGTCCATAAGCTTGATTTCTACTTGTTTTGGTAGTCTTTTAAGGCTTATGTGATATTATATACGATGGCAATTACTGATTTAATATGAATTATTTGATTAGCTATATGAACATCTAATAGATGAGATATAACAAAGATAATATAGACAAGTTAACATTATTCGTAGTATACTACTAATGTGTTGGCCTGTTGATGTCACAGTTTTGATCAAATAAAATATATAATTGATTAATTAAATTATTAAATCAACTTGTGGATACACTTGTATATATGCTAACTTGATGCTTTTATAGTGATAACCAAACAAAATATATAATGCCGGTACTTAATTTTATAGTGATAACCAAACAAAATGTATAGAGTGATACATATACTAATGTGCTAGTTCAATAATTCATTTTTACTTTTTATGTATTCAAATATAATTTTGAATAAAATGAGGTAAGTTCATTTCATTAATTCATTGCCTTAACTATGTATTCATTATAATGGATTATTAATTTTGAAGTATTTCAAATTCAAAAGAAATCAAATCCATTCATTTAAAATCCACTTTTAAATCCAAATTCATCAATTTAAAATCCACCTTCAAATCCAAATATATCCTATTAAACAAGTCTAAATGAAAATGATTGATATGATATTGGCCATTAGGTATATACCTTTCTTAATATCAGCCATAGTATATATCCCCACAAATTTCACCATTCACCATTCACCATTCACCATCCACTTCATAACATTATAACTTAAGTTACAGTCCAAATTAATAACCATAAAACATATCATTTTTATTCTAGAGAACAAAAAAATGAGAACTTTACAGGAAATAAAAACATTTATGAGTGTGAGTATGCATGTCAATATATCCAAATGTATGCTATTATTTATTAGAAAGATTTGGACAACAAAGAGGTGGAGGCAATTGAAATATCCACCGGTTTGATTCTCTTTCTGAAAAGGATACTGATGATTTTCTGTCCTAGGAGACTGATTTGGAGGATACATTATACATTATACATTATCTTTAATAGTTATTATTCCTTATTTTTCTCTGCTTTTGCCCGATGATGTAAGTCCTATTCCTGCATTGGTCATTTCGTCATTGTTGTGGTTTTGCAATTAATTTTTTGTCGTAGGAGCTTGAGTTGGAGGATACATCTGATTGTGATTCCATGGATCAAGTCCCTTATTATAGGAAGCCGAAGAGTAATTCTGATTTTGTTATTTTCCTCATGCTTCACCATTCTCGTACTCTTTAAACCATTTTCAGGGGTGACTACTTCCACCTATGATGAATTTAGTTTATCCATGGATTTTCCAGAGAAATTCTTAACTTCGTGGCGCGGCGGAAGGCAGGAGATGAAGACCACGGAATGCGCGGCTGCAATCAATGGAAGAGGAGCTGGCCAAGAAATGTGATACTTAAGCATCGTGTCTCCAGGCGCAAGATTAGTGTGTTGAGCATCATTTCCAGCTACGAACCCGTGACTCGGAGGAGCATAGCCACGTCCGTAACTATAATGCTCATTGTGCCGGGAAAAATATATAAGGGCCATGTGGTGAATCACATCACTGAGAAGGAAAGCGTAAAAAAAATTATAGAGAGAAAGTAGAGAGAAACTTTTTATTGCAGATGAACTTGGTTGAATGTACAAATGAGGGTGGATAGATCGAGTATGTACAACTATCTATAATGTTCTATAGTCTTCCAAAGTATTCAGCAATATTCCACAATATTCTACTTTGTTCTAGAAGGATTCCGGAATAATCTTTAATCTAGAGTCTTCTCTACAATTTGTGAGAATTTACATGTATACTCCTAGAAGATTCTAGATAATAATAAACTGCTATCTCCGGACCCTTTTCCGCCTCCGTCTGTGACAACCCAGCTTCAGCTAACGGATCATCTCACTTGAATGCTCCGAAGAAGTGGTGGTTGATAAGAAGCATGATGGAGAGTGATTCATCGTCTACTATTTAGCTCGCCTATCTTTATTTAACAATATGTTATATATAATCCATTCAACTTCTAACACCAATTCTGAGATTTAATAGTTTTACTTTTTGTTGGAATAGCAGGAATCCATTATTACTATTTGTGAATTGTACGAATCGTAAAATATTATTATGCTATCTTCTCTATGATTTTACTGTGCATAAGCTTTGATTTCTACTAATTTTGGTAGTCTTTTAAGTCTTATATGATACGATATAAGGTGGCGGTTACTAATTCATTAGCTATGTGAACAATTAATGGATGCGATATAATAAAGATAATATAGGCATATTAAACAATTAATGGATGCGATATAATAAAGATAATATAGGCATAATAACATTATCCGCACTATTGTTTTTATAGTGCCGGTCAAACAGAATTTGTAATGTGTTAATTAAAAATATTAAAATTATATCGACTGATATATACTAATGTGTTAGCCAGACATTGTCATAGTTTTAATCAAACAAAATATATGATCGACTAATTAAAATATGAAAATGTATTGAGTGATACATATAGTTTTTATTTTTTGTGCATTCAAATATAATTTTGAATAAAATGAGGTTAAGTTCATTTCATTAATTCACAGCCTTAATTATGAACTCATTACAATGGATTATCAAAATCTTTCTCAAGATATTCGACTGGAGTATAACAAAAGAATAGTTTTGCATAGAATTTCAAATCAAATGAGGTAAGTGTATCTCATTCATTCATCACATGAATCATTTATTTGTTATAATGGATTCTTAAATTTGTTTTCAAGACATGTGATGGAGTAGAAGAAACAGAGTATTCATTATCATTTGCAGCTAGATAGACTCCATTTCAAATATATTGAAGTTGTTTCAAATGCCTAAAAACTATGAAGTTTTCAATACTCGTTCTCGTATATTCATGCATTTATTTATTTTGTGTGTCCGTGTTTTTATTTTTTTTAATGCAAAAATATCCAAATGAAGAGTTTTCGGATAGAATTTCGAATCAAACAAGGTAAGTTCATTTCACGAGTTCATAACCTTAATTACGTAACCTTACTCCAACATTCGAAGGAGTATAGCAAAAGAACGGCGCTTCGATAGATTTTAAATAAAACAAGGTAAGTTGATTTCATTGATTCTATCGCCTTAATTATGTATTCATTTTAATAGATTTTTAAATTATTTTTCAAGATATTCAATGGACTATAAGAGCCCGGATCATTAATTCAAATTTGCCGCTGGACAAAGGAGGTAGGGATACGGAGACAGCCAAGAGGTTTGCTAAAAATGGTACAAAATAGCTCACTAATCGAGCATTCTTGCGCCAAAGATGTACGGGGCTAAGCAATTTGTCGAAGCTGTGGGATGTAAATATACATTGGTATCTTTTGTTTATGAGCTCGGTAGTGTTGATTGTGTTATGTATAGATATAATGTGTTATTTGTGTTTGTGCTTATTATCTGTTGAGGCAGGCATTTATATATTCCGACTTTTTATTATTATTTTGGGATAGGCATACCAGAAGTTGACTATTTGTTCCGACAATGTATTATACTGTATATTACTTGTTAAGGCAGATGCGCCAAAACGACCGCATATATATGCTATGACCGTATTTATTTTCTTTTATGTTGCTTACGTATTTCGGCCGTGTGCTTATTTTTTTGTTTTGTCGAACACATATTCTAAAATATTGTATGATTATTGTCGTCATATCTGTTTAAATAGTGCACACGTTTGCTTCGACTGTGTTTATTTTTCATTCGAACCAATCATATATGCCGAAAAAAGTCTTATCCATTTGAATAGAGACCTGAGCTCCAAAACATGAATAAGCAAGAATCAGTTAAGTCTATTTATTACATAATTAGTTTTCTGAAAATCTGACAATTAGGACAAGTTTATTCGGGACAAATCACAACCAATTTTTCTGATGATATCAACAATTCAAGATTGTATTCTATCGAGTCGTCCAGATCATTGAAAGATCTTGACTAGTTCAGAAATTAAGTAAACAAGAGATGTGTGCTCAAAGACTAACCTTGGTCGAGAATGGTTAGAAAAGAAAATTGGATAAATAATCTTTTCCAGCTATCATCTAATTTCCCATAATAAACATGTTAGCACAGAGGTAATTCAACTTAACAGAGCTAACAAATACTAAAACTGCCATTTGAAAAAAATAAAAAAATAAAAAAAGAAAAAACAGGGACAGGGTAGCGAAGCTCCTGCAGGAAACGATGATCAACCAAAATGCATGCTCCCAAACGTAATTCAATCAGGAAAAAAAAAAAAGTGCGAATTTTGTAATGCAGGGTTAATGGCAGCATTATACTGCAACTCGAATCGAGGTTTTCTTTCTCCAGTCGACGCACATACGCAGAGCTAACGTACAACGTGGTAAGAATGACGTACAAGCGATTCGAAGCAAGGAGGGTGGTGCTTGACGCGTGGCAAACTAGGTTTTCGATTTTCTAGGCAAGTATATATGACGTAGTAGGTCCACACTATTTAATGTCTGAATCGGACTGAAAACTCACCCTGCGGACTCTGCGCCGACTGTTTCTCAGATTATCTCTGTGTACATCGAGTGTATCGCCCGCCATAGGCATCTTCCAAAAGGAGGTGCTAATCTCGTGTTGCAGTAACTGTAAGGGAGAATTGCAGGAAGGAAGAAAGTGTGCGGATCAGATCCATCGCGTGAGGAAGAAACAAGAAAGAAGAAACCCAGATTACCGCCGGTGAGAACGCTTCGTTTTCATCGATTTTCCCGATGTTTTTCATTTTTAGTTCTTTTTCGATTTTCACGATGTTTATATGATAGATCTGGAGGCGGGTTTTGGAGTTTTAAATGTTGTGGGGGTCCATTGAATTTTGTCAAGGGTTTTTTAATTTTTAATGGGTTAAACGCTGTTCGAATAAAATAATCAAATATGATGATTGAGTTTGGGTAAACGTCTTAGAGTAGGAAGATTTTCTAACAGGGTAAAATGATAGCGACAAGATCAGAAATTTCACAAACAAACTCAAGCACATATTTGTGATTTTGTTTAAGACTATTTATTGTACTTGCAGATACATTATAATGGTGAAAGTAGAGAAGTTTTGTCTCTACGAGGACCTCAAATATGCTGTAACATCAAATGTCTGGACTGTCGATAAATTGGCAGAACATGCAAAACATGTGCAAGAAGATGACAAGATGGATTTGGGGTACAAGGAGCTCCTTGTGTCGATTCTCTGTAATGAAAATGGATTAAAATTCGATGACAAGAGTAAAGACACTAACAATAGTGTCGTGAAGGAGACAGTGGATAAAGGATCGGTGTCTCCGGACAAGGGACAAGAAAAATCCAGCAGAAAGAAAGTCGCTTACGAGAAGAAGCCACAGCCACAAGGAGAAGTTGAGTCACAAAAGAAAGGAAGCCACAATGATGGAGGACGTCATCGTCTCTCGGAGAAGACACAATTGCAAGGAAGGTTTGAATCACAGAACAAAAGAAGTCGCAATGATGGTGGACGTCGTCCTGTCTCGGAGAAGGCGCAACTGCCGGGAAGAGTTGAGACACAAAACAAAGGAAGCCGCAATGATAGTGGACGTCGACATGTCTCGGAGAAAACTCAACCTCAAGGAGGAGTTGAGTCACAGAACAAAGGAAGCCGCAATGATGGTGGACGTCGTCGTGTCTCAGAAAGAGTTATACCGGAAGGACGTGAATCGCAAGTTAAGCTCGTGGTGGAGAAATCCCGACCACCACCGGTGATTGAATCGAAGAAAAAGGAAGGATGCGGCAATGATGGTGGACGTTCGGTGGTGGAGAAACCCCGGCGACTAGTAATTGAGTCGCAAAACAAGAAAGGTTACGGCAATGATGGTGGATTACCGGTGGTGGAGAAATCCCGGCCACCACCGGTAATTGAGTCGCAGAAGAAGGAAGCATGTGGCGATGACGGGGGATGTTTTGCATTGAATGAGATTGGAGCTGAACTGCAAGAACTCGAACCATGTCACGACCAAAGAGGCCGGGGGAGAGGGAGAGGCCGAGGCAGGGGAAGGGGCCGTGGCCGCGGCCGAGGCAGAGGTCGAGGTCGGGGAAGAATCCGAGCTGGAAGTTCTAACAGTGATGAATTTTGCGACTCGGAGGAGGAAACACAGAGCGATGACTCTTACAGTGAGGGAGGAGGCAGCGACGATAGTTATGCCGTGGAGCAGATCAAACGAAGAGGATTGAAATCACGGCGATGCCCGAGCAGTGGAGATGATTGCAACGACGATGATGATAATTACGCCTTGGAGCAGAACGAGCCAAAGAGGATTGAATGGCACAACCGGCGAATAGGTGTAGATGTTAGCGACGACAATGATGGTTATGAATTGGAGCACATCGGCGCGAAAAGGCTCGGATCAATCAATCGGCAAAGAAGTGGAGTCGCCAAGAAAGGTGTGCTTAAGATCAGGAGGGAGAAGAAACATCCATGCTGCAATTGCGGATCACATTGCCGTCGGAAAGAGAGAGACGAAATGGTTGTTTACAGCGCCAACGTGTGCGAGGATACAGACGATTCTCATTTTGAGGAGACGGATGATTCTTGTTCTGATGATCTCTCGGAGATGGATGATGATTTCTCAGACTATTTTCAGGAGGATGACAACTCTGGCGCAGATGAATTCGAAACATCCGAGGACTCACAACACGACCAATATACGGATTCAGATGAAGGATGCAGTGAAGACTCTCGGAGAGCTATTCCGATCCCCAGAACTGTGTGTTCGAAGACTTTAACTTCAAGTCTGAAACATGGCGCTGCGAAACTTAAGCATGGCCATGAGGAGGTATGTAGAATGAGCGGTTGCAAGAGAGAAAAGGGAACAGAGTCGAGCAAGGCGACACTTAAGCGCGGTATTTTTGTGTCCAAGGATAAGGAAGCTGTGAGTGAGGAGGTATACAGAATGACCAGCAAAAATGGAGCAAAGCGGAAGGGATCGAGCAGCATTGTGGGGCGACAAACTGAACCTTACAGAAAACTTTTACTTGACAATGAGGAGAATAGTCCTGTCCATAAATGTGGTGTTTCTTGTGTTGCGAAAAAGATGAGCCATGTAGTAAATTATGAGGCCGAGAAGGAGAGGGAACTCATTGGAGCTATGAAACAGGGAGGGGGAAGTTTAGACAGGATGCCTGTTGTGGAGAATCAGCTGACCCTAGTCGATCCGTCTGCTTCAGTTAACAGGATGATATCTGTATCCAGTGCGCCGAAAAAACAGTGGCTGACTAGAAATATGCTCGAGCGCAGCCACGAGCAATCTGCAGCTGGAAAGACATCAAGGATAGCCGAGAATGTGAAAAGTTCCCCTAACAATGTGGCAGCGTTTCCTGGAAATCGCCAGCTCGAAGATAATGCGCAAGATCAGGAGGATCGCCATGTCGTCTGCACGTGTAAGGCTTGTAGTGTTTCGAATAAGAGAAGCTCTGTGACGAATCTGGAGGGGAAGAGAGAGAGGGAACCAACTGGTGCTATGATCCAGAGAATCGGCGGCTCAGAAAGGATGACTGGTGTCGACAAACAGCGCAAGCAGGACGTGTCATCTGCTTCAGCTAACAGGATATATGGACTGAATACTCCAAAGAAACACGGTCGAAAGCCGTCAGCTTCTGCAAACATTTCTGGATTAAATGCTGAGAAGAAGCAGTCCCTGAGTAGAAGTATGCGCAAGCACAATTCTGAACAACCTCCAGTTCCGAAGCAGCCAAGAAGTGGAGCTAGGACAGTGAAGAGTATGAGAATTTCACCTTACAAAGAGATTGCTGCTAGTGTTCCAAATCACGACGACTCCCCTGTCCATGGCTCCAACGCTTCTTGTGTCGCGAACAAGAAGGGCCAGGCAGCAAATCATGATGGCGAGGAGAGGAAACTTACCGGTGCTATGAGCCATGGAATTAGTGGTTTAGCTAGGAAGAGTGGCGTGGAGAACCATCAAGTGTCGACTGGTGCAGCTAACAGGATGTCTGAATCGATTGCTCCAAAGAAACGTTGGCTGAGTCGCGAAATGTACAAGCACACTCATGAGCAGCCTGTGGTGGAGAAAAGATCGAGGGATGGAGCTAATATGGCGGCAGCTTCTGATCGTTATAAACTCCATCATAATGTTCGACATCAGGAGGATGTCGATGTCCCTACCCATAAGTATAATGCTCGTAGCAGTCGGAGCAAGAAGAGCTTTGCAGTGGATTATGAGGAAGATGCGGGAGTTCGTGACATGGATATGATGCTCAGCGTCAAGAATCAGCGCAAGCACGACGTGCAATCTGATCCATCTAATTCAGCGTCTGGATTCAATTATCCATTGAAGAAACGCGGTTGGAAGGCTGACGATGTGACGCCTTCAGCTCGAAAGAAATCTAGATTGAGTGATCCTAAGAAACATTTTTCGAGTAGAAGTATGCGCGAGCAGACATCGAGGAATTCCGCGGAAGCTCCTGAATATTGTCAAGCTCATCATAGTGTTCAAAACCAGGAGGATCACCATTTCTCCAAGTGTAAAGGTCATAGTGTTGCAAAAAGGAAGAGCTCTGCAGTGAGACAAGAGGCAGAGGAGCAGAGAGAGCTAACTGTTGCTAAGAACCCGAGAGTAATCACGCCAGATTCGATGCCTGGTGCAGAGAAACGGTACAAGGATGATGCAATGTCTGCGCCAAAGAAACGGGGTCGAAAGCCTGGTGTCGCATCTGCTTCGACTATCATGGAATCTGGAGTGAGTGCTTGGAAAGAACATGATACAGGCAAGAAGAAGAGACAGAATACTGAACCTGCAGATAATCAGCATGAGCATCATCGAAAGAAGGCCAAGAGCTTGACTATGTCGAAGAATGTGGCTGAAAAGGCAAAACAGTACTCAAGTGGTAAAGACAAGACTGTGGAGGGAGCTAAAAGTGCTATGGGAAACAAGAAAGGTAAAGAAGAAAACAAGTCTAGAACCAAATTGGAAGGGGTCACAAGCTCTTTTTTGTCTTGGAAGAAATTCGGCAGTACTGAGGTTATCTACAAAAACTCTTCTCTGTCTGTGCTTTTGTTTGCCTTAGTCTTGTGCAATGTATTTAAATTTTTGTGTTCTGTAACTTGACATGGTGAATGCCAGAAAGCTGGAAAATCTCGCAGTGAGTTTCGAAGTCGGGCCTTGGAGTTTCTTCGAAAGCCATGTGAAAAGGGAGAGTACGCGACTCTTCGCAAGGAACTCCAAGCAGGAAACTACTTTGAAACCTATCCAGGTCAGTGAAGATCATCATCAAAATAAGTTTTTAATACCACTTACTGATGCACATTACTTTTCTAAAGAAAGATCTTTCGAGTAGAATTTGCTTGAGTTCGACATTTTCAATTTCTTTACTTGCTCCTTTAAGAATGAAATAAAGAATGATGTTCACCATGTTTACAAGTTCAATGTTAATAAGAACCTTTTCAGACAAACAGTTTCTGTGATTACTACATGGATGCAGAATTTTCAAGGCTACTCGGATATTACCGTTACCAACGAGGAAAGCTCCTGACAATAGTCCGTGCATTCCACTTTTGGATCAAGGTTGGTGTTGTTCATTCAGCTGCAAAACAATTCTGATGTTGTATACAAATCAAGGAATCTTCTGTATTAACATTCTGTGTTGCTGTCAGAATATGAACCAAGAAGGATCTTTCAAACCGTGGGAAGATGACGAGTGCCTGGCGGTGGAGCCACCGCCTACAGACGCCGGAATGTGAGACATCCAGCCGCAGCGAAAGTCGAACTGACAGACAGGAAGATGGAGATTAACCTGTGTTAAAACAAAGACCAATTTACCTTGTGTTGCAGACTTGCGACTTCCATTTAGTATTTCTTAACTGCAATGACCTCTGAATTCTGATTTATTATCTGTGTGAATGTTGTGGGGATGATGGTGATTTGAATGGTAAGTATGATTTAGCATCAAAATCTACGAAAATCCTTAAACAGGTTGAACATTCTATTTCTATCCATTCTGTGGAAACAAGAAACAATCTCGAAAAATTGCTGCACACTAGACAACTAAAAAGGTGCACAGGGGAAGCAGGAGGGATGCTTCAGTCGAAGCTCGAAGATCGGCTCCATCGCCCTTGCAGATAATCCTCCAAGGAAAGGCTCCGCTCGACGCTGCTTACAGAGTCTTCTCCCACGCCGAGCATCGCGAGGTTCAGGTGGGATTGGAGATTCAATTGCGGGAACACTTCATCCTCCAGTGCATCAAGTCCATCCAAGGAATGTGCTCCTTGTCTGGTTTGAGACACCACAGGATCAGTCAGCTGCAGTCTTGCCCACTTCACTACATCCGCGTCGCCCCAGAGAAGCTTCAGAACCTGAAACAACAATAGTCGCCGGGTAATTAAGGAAGATCATGGAGTCAGTGAACTTAAAATGACTTACAGTGTCCATCTGAGGCCGAGCACGCGGCGCACGTCTGATGCACAGTGAAGCTGCCAGAGCCATCCTCTCCACTTGCTCATGATCATAACTTCTGCCCAAGTTCGGGTCCAGCAATGTGGTGAACTTCTCGGAATTTAGAATTGGTTTTGCCTGTAAGAAAATCAAATCTGTAAAGAAACTTTCACTTATCCGAGGATCACATAAAGAGTACAACATACCCACAAAACCAGGCTTTCCGGGCCCTTCGGACAGTTGCTGCTTATAGGCTTTCGTCCCGAGAGAAGCTCAAGAAGAACAACCCCATAGGCGTAAATGTCGATCTTCTCATTCACTTTTCCATACATGAAATATTCAGGAGCCAAGTACCTGTTTATAACAATTAATCTCGTTAATAAAACTATAAAGATAAGGATGTTTCTGTCGTTGAGAATGTCTATACCGACCCAAAAGTCCCAGCAACGTCGCTACAGGTCATGTGAGTAGAAGTTGCAGATGCCCATTTAGCAAGACCAAAGTCGGAAAGCTGAAAAACGATTGGAACAAATACTTAAGCGAGCTTTATAATTACGAAACAGCGCAGAAGAATGTATGATCGAGTATCATGACAACTCAGTACCTGTGGTTCGAAGTCATCGGACAGGAGTATGTTTGATGACTTAACGTCTCTATGAATTACAGACTGGCTTTCTCTTCGATGAAGATAATCCAAAGCCTCGGCTACGCCAATAGCAACCTTATATCTCTCACTCCACCCAAATTCCAGTGGCTCCTTTTTATTACCTGTTTCATATGATTTATAACATCCTTAAAAGATACGGTCGAAAATATTATAGTTTGCAAACGTTATACGACGCTAATGCTTACCGTGAAGATTTTCTTCAAGGCTTCCTCTCGATACAAAATCATACACCAGGAGAAGATTGTTGTCCTCGAAACAGAATCCAAAGAGGTAGATGATGTTTTTGTGATTTAGATTAGTGACTATGTCAATCTCGCAGAGGAACTCCTTCAGAGCATCCTCCGATGGCTTTAAGATCTTCACTGCAATTTCTTTTCCATCAGGAAGGCAACCTCTGTAAACCTTACTGCTGCCTCCTTTCCCGATCATATTCCCTGTGGATTATAATTCCACAAGTACACGTCGATTAGCAGATGAAAATTTTCCCCGTCAAAAAGAAAACAGAGAAGATGAGAACCTGGCATGAAATCAGATGTTGCTGATCTGAGTTCCTGGAATTCAAACAGTCTGCACGTCGCCGAGTACTTATTGTGAAGACCCTCGAGTTCCTTCGGCAAGGATCTTGAGATGCAGTCGGGAGACAGGGGAATCGATGAGCTCTCACGATCAACAGCAACAATGGCACCTCTTTCTCCATTTAGCTCACACGACTCATTCTCGTCATTCCTCGCTGAATTCTCAATTGACACACAGTATCGACTGGGCAGTCGCATAGCCCATTGAACAACGGACACCTGCCTCACTTGTGAACTGTTAGACACAATGGCTCGACGAAGAAGTGGCCAACCAGGTTTGAGTTCAGGTATTTCTTTTAACAGCAGCGTGACTGAACTGGATGCAGCCTCTAGCTTCTGTACTGGTACCATAGCCATTGACTTGTCTTCTTCGTCGCTGCTTGAATGTCTCTCATTAGTCGATATAGAAGCTCTGTTGAATTGAGGCACTGATTGGGGTGAACAGATTGAGCAATTCCTTTCAAGATTACTACGCCCCGATGATTCTGGACTTGCATTGGAAAAACATGATGATTTTTGACAAGAACTTTCGTCCCATGCCCACATTGGCTTCACCTGGCCATCTTTAATGTTCTTGCTGAGTGATCTCTGAAGGGCATTGAGTAATCCATTTCGTCGATGATGCTCAATCTCTGGTAAAGTTGAAAAAGGAGACTAATAAACAAGGTTCTTCGATGCTATACGTCTGATTAGAAGATGAGTTACAGAACTACCTTTGGTACTAACGTGCGAAGACGAATTTGATTTTCTATGAAAAATAATCTTCCCATTGTTAACAGCTAACACAGAGCAATCCCTCGACAACTTCTTCGCGCAGTATTTGGCAACAGAGGCCGATGAACGAATGGCGTGATGAGTTTGTGCAGTTCCTACAATGACCTCACTTGCGTAGTAAGATTTGGCCTCGCGGACAAGAATTTTAGGGACTGATGAACCTCTGCAGATCTTTAGTTTGAGATCTACCTGCAGAATTAGAAGCAAAATCCCAGCAAATGAGAAATCATTTGTTCAGAATGTGCCAAAAAAAAAACACTTGAAAATCCTATGTAAGTGAAAGGAAGAACTTGTCGACATAATAAATTCTTGGACACAGCTGCATAGATCCACCGACAGTTCTCAGTGCTTACATTCAATTTCAAACTTGTACTAATATCCTAAATTCAATCTCAAACACTAATTTGACACGAGACTAGCATTAAAAACTAGAATATTTAATTTACCTGTTTCAGATTACAGAAGCCTTCGTAAACTTCAAGAATTGAGTCAAAAGCTTTAACCAGAGAGAGCAGAGATGATTTTCCATCAGGATCCACAATTACTGCAAAATCCCAGTTCATCACCAACCAGTTTGATTAATTTGATTTACAAATTAAAAATACAGACCGCCAACAAAAAAAGAATCAAATTCAAGAAAAAGATATACGTTAAACTCCAAAAATAAATTTAAAAAATCCTTTCTTTATTACTTTAATTGCTTGCTTTAGAAGAAGTGGAGATGGTTTTGAATTCCATACACCATGATCTCACCAATTTTCACCAAATTAAAATCTCCGATAGCAAAAAGCAGCCATTTTTTTAAAAACGATTGCTGCAAAACAGAAAACAGAAACATGTTTAAAGCTCACCATTGCTGTCAAGAACATGAAGCGCGACGACACGATCACCACTCTGAGCAACTTTCACTAGAGCCCACGTCAGCAATTCTCTGCTGTGCGAGTCGAGCTTCACACCCACCACCACCGTCCGCCCGCCGGAGCCGTCGTCGACACCCTCAGCTACCATCTGAGTCATTCCCCTCAAGAATTGAACAGCTGAATCATGCGAACCCAAACATATATATATATATATAGAGAGAGAGAGAGAGAGAAATAGATAGATATGATAATCCTATAAGAAAGTTGGTTGTTTCTACTCTGCTCGCTAAAACGGGTGGTTAAGTTTGTCGTAACAGAAAATTTGGGCAATTCTTGGTTTGTTTTCCAAGATTTCAGATGTCAGGAAATGAAATCATATGCTTCTCTTCTCGTCTTGTCCCTGCTCACCAATAAATTAGATGGTGAAGTGATGGTCCGCCGCTATGGTTCAAGTTATTAAATTAAAGATGATCTACTGCACTTTGCTTTCTTGGGCTTCTGAAACTACACGACTTCCTTTTACCAAACTCCAGGATCTCCAGTTCCATACGACAACACAAAACACCACTACCGTCAGCAGGATCTGAGGTCCGGGATCTCTCAAGGTTCCATCCTTATAACTAATTTTCTGTATGACATCAGATCTCATATGAAAAACACAGTATACTGAAAAAAAAAAAAAAAAAAAGAATTTATAATAAAATAATGGAATTAAAAATAATGTATAAGGGATTATAAATTGGCCAAAAAATAAGAATAATAATTTTTCATAAGACTTGAGTTTTAAGGATTTTGAGTGACCAATTATTGTGGTCACATGCCCCAAAAGGCTATTTTTAGGTCATGTATATAATTGGATTATTATTACTACTTTATAATGTGATTGTTTTAAACAATATATGGTTGGTTTGAAATATCTGTTGTGAATATTTATTTGGTGCAGCCGTGGACTAAATCATAATAATAAGTTTCATCTTACACTATGGTCCATGCCCACATTTAGTTCCATGATGTAGTGTGATAATTACTACTCAATTAGTCTATAATATCTAAAAATATAATCATAGGGTGGGTCAAACTAAGATATGCCACGGTTGAGTGATATATTATAATTAAATCATTATTATTACCGAGTAGACACTAGATTAATTTATTTAATAATATACACAAATAAAAACTAGTGTCGTTTAGGGATCCTGTAAGGTTAGACCCTACCCGCACGAGATTCTCCTTGTCGAGTCGGATACCATGTCACTATATAATTTTTTAAAATTCAATTATTGAAAAATATAATAATTTTAAAACATATTTCTGCTAAAAATATATAATGAATAAAATATCGGGTCATTAATTGAGTGGAGCAAAGAAGCCGAGCCGACCGACCATTGATGCATACGCCTCATGTGAGCACTCAAACCTAACCACACACGTGGCAGGCCTCAATTGGTCCCACAAAAAATGGTTTAAACATTAAAATGCTAAGCCAAAAAACGATTAAGCCAAACAACTTTCCCTGAACAAATAATAAAAACGTGTCATTTAATAAAAATTAAAATTAAAATTAAAAAAAAAAAATGTATGGACAATTTATTGTACTGCTAATATAAGAAACCAATAAATTTCATTTGCATGTGAAAATTTCATTTTCCCTACAATTAGGGTTCCAAATTTTCTGGCTGTCGGTTCAGCAGAGGTCTTATTCACGTGCTGGGTAGGTAACTACATTTACACAAAATCTACATTTACACAAAATCTCCTGTCTCCTAAGCGTATCTATCTATTTATCTATCCATACTGTAGATATATATATACACAAATACATACGTCAGCAATGAGTGATTCAGGACATTGAAACTAGGCATGAACCAAACATTTCTGTGTGTTTGCTTGTTTATTTATTTTATGTGATGCAGTTTGGTGGTGAAGTTAGTTAACAAGTTAATATAATCTAATCTAATCTGCTGTTAATCCATAAGGTGGTGTTGAGTCACTGACAAAGTTTGTTCTGTTTGGAGAGGCAACAATTGACAGACTAACAGCAAAAAAGCCATAATGACAACACATGCTCTGCTAACTTCTTGTTTCTATCTGAATGTGCGAAGTGGGAGTTAGTAATAAAGTAGAAGAGTTGGATTAGATCTAATGACCATGAGCAAGTTAGTACACTTTGGTTACAGTACCTTAAAATGTGGGGAATACTATTAATGATTTCTTGCCAACATAGTGTGTACTGCCAGACATGAGATATCACAATTGCATTTATTGAAATAGTTTTAGAGGCAGCCTACCATTCATTGTCTAATAAGATATTTTCTACATAAATTATTTTGAAGCCATCATGTTAAATCTTGTCTTTATGCCTAACTTTTGAATAAATTGCTCAATTATATGGGTCCACTTAGGGGGTCTGAATTCTAGAAAGAGAAGCCCACATGTCAGACAGAACAAAGCAGTGTATTTTCTCATGAATGCATAATTCATTAAAGGAATGTAGACCTTTCTTGTTGGAGAAATATCTCAAGCGGGAGGAGACGAGCTGCTTCTTACACCTACTGTAGCATGATAATGTATTCGATTCTTAAGGAAGAAGACACCAACAAGGGTTAGAACATGATGCCATGGAAGCTACTACAATAAGTCTTCTGTGTTCCTTGATAGACTGTGTTTGATTATTACCAAAGTCTAAAGAGATTTAAAACTAGTATGTGCTGTAATATCTCGAAAAGGCAAAGGGAGCAACAAGCAGCATAAATAGGTTCAGAGAATGCGGAAGCAGTCAAGAATACAGCACATAAAGGGCATACCTGATGGGATGAGGGTTTCATTTCCACATATTCTGTGTCATTCATACGTACACAGGCAAGGCAAGACGGATCAAACATGGCCTGACCATTGGAATTCAGTCTAGCAATGGGCCTGCAGGAAACGAAACACATGCTCATCTGCACATCATAAGCACACTGAAAAGTATTAAGCACTAATGGGCGGTGATGCGATGCAACAATGTTCAAGTTTTTCAGACTTCCAGAATGGTAGTTTCATACAAGATTAGCAGGGTACATGATAGCTGGCCAGCTAATTATAAGTTTCTACGAGGGAGATGCAAATTAGATACTTAAGACTGCGAAGAATGCTTACCTTCCTTCTCTTACCAATTCAATTCCTTGTGTGAAGCAGGCACTTGGCTTGTGGAACAGTGAGAATGGCCGAGTAAACATGTTGGTAATAAAACTGAAGAAAATAAACGCTGCAATGTGGGAAGGCTGTGCAGTAAAGAATCATGGTTTGATAAAAAAGGGATCAACATAGAAAGTATGTAACAGAGCCCTTGAAATCTTCCCTATAATATCTAGTTATTTTCACAACAAAATCTAATAACTTTCGTTCTTAATTTTCCTGCCAGCTGACCTCCTGCGAGTTGTATGCATGCCTGAAATCACTTGCTCCAGGTGAATCATTTCCAGTGTTGTTCCCATTATAGCTCCTGCCATTTTTCATTCGGATCCATGGTGGGGTTAACTTTGAATGGTTCCATTTTTGCTGCCTAAAGTATTTCCTTCCCAAGCTACAAGAAACCCCTTGCCGGAGATCTGGAAGGCGATCTAAAGCAGGAAGGTTGCTATCCAGTGGATTTGAACGGCATGTTCTCTTACAGTGTTCCACTGTCTTCTCAGTGTATTCACCCGTTGGTGGACATGTTGCAGCAGATGATTTACGAGCACCCTCTTCATAGGAAAATGGCGGCAAAGGAGGAAATGGATGGAATGGCACAGCTGGAGCAACAGCCCAACCCTCTGATGTTTCGTGGCGCGCCCCAACCTTCTGCATGATAGAAGAGGGAACTCCATAGGACACAGCTATACGTGCTGCAAATCTTGGCTGTGCATCACCCAAAATAACATCGTGAGGATGTTTCTTTAGATCCATATGTACTTCACAGTGACGGATAGCATTTGAAGAAGCATCAGATTGAACCACACGACCATTGCAAGGAGATGAAAACCCTGGAGGAGCATCCTCCTCTATGCATGTCCTAATTCTTGAATGTGAGTACTCCCCCACCGGGATATCCCATCGACTCTTGCGCTTGAGTGAATTCACTCTGTTGTTTCCACAGCTACCACCTGAAACAGAGGGGGCGGAAACCTCTGTTGCACCAGAAGCAGCAAGTGCCTGCTTCTCATTGGAGCATATAAAATCTGAAGGTTTTACAGTCTTATCACCAGCCTTATCATTTGATATAGACGAATCACCATAGCTTGAATGGCAATTAAATTCACTCCTTCCACTGTCCCTTTCCATGCAGTAATTTTTTCTGAGGGATCTGGGGATCCACCTATCCCGGAAATTTCGTGCAATTTGATGGACCTGAGAGTATCAGAATGTAAAGTTGAGTCACCAGCAAATACGACATGCATCCATTAGTCTCAAGGTATCGATACAAAATGCTGCACTTTAAAACATATAGCACATCACATGAAAAAACATTAATTAGAGCAGGTAAAGGACTGCAGATAAACAGCATGCAATTATTTATATGTAAAGGTTAGCATTGAGAAGATGGAACACAGTTTTCTGTGAGCTACCTGTCTGTCAGCATGTTCTGTGAGAACCAGCATTGAATCTTTAAAGCTGCAAATACAAATGAATGAAATTTAAGAAAACAAAACAAACAAAGGAAATAACAAAATAAGAAACACAACCGGAAAAGAGTTATCTGTTTCTTAATCGGGGAAGAAAAAACATCCACATCGAAAAGAGCACATTCAATGGTCCCTTATGCTGGATTGTCAATTTAATCTTTCATTATTTGGCATAAGATGAAACACACAAAAAAAGAGAAAACAATCGCCGATATGAAGGTTTTACAAGATCAATGCATGCAAAGATCCTTGTAGTATCCACTTTGTTTACATATAAATCTTTGTATGGGGATGCATCTAAGTTAGATATTTTGTTTGAACGGTGAGAAACAAACACTGCATTAGAAACCTGTGCTTTAGTAATTTAGGATTCACAACAGTGTCAGGTGAGCTGAACCTATAAAATTTTGGAAACCAAGCTTCTGCAATAGGACTAGATGTAGTTTTTGGTTCCACTAATAAAAAACTTTGGACGTGATAATGAAAGGTATAGAAAAATGAATACATACATGATGTCATTAATTTACTCATCAATCCAATTACCACATCAAAAGCAAAGAAATGAGAAATTGTAAGACCGGTAAAAATAAAAAGTGGAAGAAAAAAAAATCCTTTACCTCTCCACTCCAACACAAGGTGGACCTCCAGTTATGTGCTCCAAAGTAAGAATCTCTCGCAGAGCAAGATGCTCCAGTACCTATTATGTAAGAAAGTGAGCAACAGAGAAAGTTCGTCGAAACAATAATAATAAAAAAAATAATGTGTTGGTCTACAAGATGCAATAAGACCAGGTAACTTAAAAAAATATATTATATCCAAGTAGTTCCAGTTAATGCATCATCCTCACAGTGGCTCTAACTACTTAGTTTAATTCAAATCAAAAGGCTGCTCAACTTCATTTCTAGAAGTTAAATGAAAGGGGGAAGTTTAAAAGCATTTATCAAGATTTCTCTGCAACAATAGTAAGATGTTCATGTTCATTCTACTAAATCTCCCCTAGATGCCCAATTTTAACTTCCACAGACCTCTTTCTGTTTGCCTTACCATACAGGTTGTAATTCGGTACCAAATGAACTGTTCAAAATCATGAATAGATAGGCATCGATTGGGTCAATTGATATACTGGTCCAAGTACAGGTATGTTGAAAGCTATGTTTAGTTCTTTAGTATATCGATGGATAAAGATGATTTGACTGAAGCTCTCAAAGCTGAACATATGTAAGAGCATAGCAGACCAAGGCTAAACTAAGAAAAAATTGTGTTGACTCATTAACCAAGACAGATGTGATCTGAGTTACCTTAAGAGCCTGTTACAGAAAACAAAATAAAATAGAAAAGAGCTTACCTTAAGAAGCTTCCGCAGAATGGGAGTTTTATTGAAATCTTTTCTATATCTCTTCATTATGTTATGTAACATCTGTAAACCTGTTGACAAAAATGGTTAATTGTCAGAAACTATGGCATTAGGATAAACTATCGACACAAGTAACATAATTTTATTTGGAAACACATGGAAATAAATACCATTTTTATTGATTATATCGATCAGCACAGTTCGAGATTTAGTCTTCAAGAGCGCATCCAGGATCATTGAAAGATCGCGATTACTTCAGAAATTAAAATAGTTCATGAGATGTGTGCCCATAGACAATAACTGCATGTATGTATTTACAAAAACAATAAATAAATAAATACTACTGATTCAGAGAATACCTTTGAATAGCTTCACCATGCCCATTATTCCCTGAAGCAGCTGTTAAGAAAAGAAGCTTCAAGTAGCCTCTTGATGCATCCTGTTATTCATGTGTAAGTAGTGGATGTCAACAATATGAAAGATGTCAATGTGCATTTGTTTATCAATATCTTGAACACAATACAAAAAACGATTGAAAGCAGATAAATTGTTATTGTAAATAATACAAATTGTGGAAACCACAAAATAGGTGATGCTCCAATAACCACAGCGAAACACATCCAAGCAGCAGGTGTTAGAAGGCACTTACTTTTCTCTTGCTTATTCCCCCATCAGGATCGAGTAACTCATTCAGTGTCTCCTCAACTACAGTTAGTTACATAACTCAGTATAGTGCACAATAAGAATGATGAACTAAAAACTGTTATGCATAGAAATATGTGTACCTGCTTCAAAATGACTGTTCATGTTCAGTCCTGGTAACTTCTTGGATTTGTTCAGTGTTGCATTTAATTTATCTGTGTCGGGCATTCTTTTGGGACTGATAGCATTGTTTTTAGGTTTCCGCTTCCTAACCGAAGATGACGATTTGATCTTAGTAAGAGAGTTGGATGTTGCCAATTCACCACCAACAGCAGCATGTTTCAACTTCCTCTTAGGTTCAACTGTATCAGACAATGATTTGCCAGGTGATGCGGCAGCAACTGCTGATCCAAGAACAGAAAATGTTTCTGTGTCTGAAATACCATCTGTCAGTACAGACATTTCCATAAATTGGGAAGAACCATGTACTTGAGACTGCAAACCCTCAGAATCAACCTTAAAATCAGTTGATTTGGTTCCGCGCATAGATTCGCCATTAACTTTGTCAGTAGCCAATTGCTCAACAGAATAATTACCAACTTCAAATTCATCTCTAACTACATCATTTTGAACCTGAGCAGAGTAAACATCTTCAACCACTTGAGCTAAAGGTTCTGGTGCTTGTGACTCCATTATATCCTCACCAGCAGTGCTGATCAGTTTCTTCGCCATAGATATGTTATCTTTTGGCTCATTTGCATTTTCATTTTCTCCAACTTTTGAAGAATTCAACATTATATCTCTCCAATCTTCATTTAGCTCTTTATCTCCACAGGTCATAACAGGTTCAGAAAATTCATCATCTGAATCATCCTGAACAATTATTTCAGAGCTTGTTGGATCACCGCCTATATAACCCCGACAATTAGCCGAACCACATACACATTTTTTTGCTGCAGCCCCAAATACACGTACATAGTTATAATCAAATGTAACCTCTTCACCCTACAAAGTAAAACGTTCAAAAAAAGTCATTATGTTCAATATGTAACATATGGAATAAGGATTGAAAGGAAGAACCAAACAGCAAGACTTGACTAAATGAAAATGATTGATAAGATGTTGGTCATTGGTATTTACCTTTTTAATATTCCGCAAAGCAAATAACCCAACACAAACTTCTCCATTCACCATCCACTGCCAAGCATTAAAAATTATTAAGTGTGTTAGTTTAGCTGATCAAATGCCAACTATTAATTTTTCATGAGGTTGCAAACTTACATCAATAACTCACAAAGCATACCATTTTTATTCTATAAACAAAAGGAGAACCGAGACTAGGTGGAGAATAAAATAGAAAGCATAAATGAGGGTTTTGAAGGAAATCGAAATATCTGAGTGTATGCACACGCATCCTAATACTTTCTAATAGATAGGTAATGATTGTGGCAGTTAAAACAAGTTTCTTGCTAAGAAATTGTTGAATATATCCCAAATTGGAAAAATATGGGATCTCCCCTTGCCTTTTAAGGGTGAAGGGCCACTCCACCTATCACCAATTGGTTTTAGATTGAAAGCCCGGATCCCTTCTTAACATGTATAAGAGCTATGGTATCCGTATTGGGTTTGATCCTATACGGATTTTCAAGATTATCATCTTGAAGGGGAGTGTTGAATATATCCCACATTGAAAAAATGTGGGATCTTCCATTGGCTTATAAGGGTGAAGGCTACTTCACCTATCACCAATTGGTTTTAGGTTGAAAACCTGAATCCCTTCTTAACATGTATCAGAGCCATGGTATCCGTATTGGGTTTGATCCTATACGAATTTTCAAGATTATCATCTTGAGGGGGAGTGTTGAATATATCCCACATTGAAAAAATGTGGGATTTTCCCTTGGCTTATAAGGGTGAAGGCTACTCCACCTATCACCAATTGGTTTTAGGTTGGAAGCCCGGATCCTTTCTTAACAGAAATTATTTTAATGAAAACGCACAGATAGTCAATTAAAAACTTCAAGTCATACAAATGCATGTATAATCTAGAGGCGTAGCCACAGAAAGCTGTGAATTGTCAATACAATATAAGAAACAGATAAACTACAACCAGATGCAAACTTGTCCATATGCACTTTATTGTTGAAAAAATGAGAGTGGATCAAGATTCAAGCACATGGGAAGAAAGTCAGAAGGCAATAGCAATAAGCACCTTTTTAGTGAAGAAAAGTTCTGTAAATTTTGCAATCATGTCGTAACCCTTGAAATACCAGCCTAACTATACAAAGGGTAAAACTGTATGGAGGACTAGCTAGATCAAATACCTTTTCGGTACGGCAGTTAGGGTTGCAGCTATGATTTATGAAACGAGCCAAATTCCCTTTAGCACATGCATCAATTACCTGGACAAAATTTTATCAAAAATAATACAAAAACTATAACATCAACTCATCAAGCGTGGGCTAGCATAAAATGAATACATGAAAGGGAAAATATGAAGAATTTGCATTAGCAGAATAATAGCATACAGCTATTAAAATAAAATATCATCATGGTTGACATCATTAGTAGAACATTAACACTCTCTATTCGAAAAAGCATTACCTAAATAGTTTCATACTATCACTATTATCTCATCAATAGATAGCTCCTGCTAAAACATTTCTTTGGCCAAAATAGTTATTTTTATAATCTACACAGCAAACTACATCATCTTGCTGCTACAGTAAGAAAATTGTTAAGAATGTTGCTTGAGAGTACTTGGCCTCAAACAAAACATTTCCATGTTCAGTAAATAAATAAATAGCCTTAATCGAGGATGTAATTTCACATTTCCTTAACAAAAGATGTGAACCTCTCGGGTAGTCTGAAAGTCAAGTGTTTTCTCAACAAAAAAGAAAATTGATACTGAAACCACTAATTGACAACAGTTAAAAGAAATACATGGCTAGAACAATCAGCTTGCTTATATGGTGTTGTTCGTGATGTCTTTAAAATGAAGTTAAGTTCAAAATTCTGAAGGCCAGAGAGCTTCAGGGCAATAAGTGCCCTTCACTCAAGCCATCATCTAACTCCCCATGATAAACAAGACAGAACAGAGGTAATTCTACTTCAGAAATATAGCAACAGAGATGATTACAAACCTCACTCCCATTCAATGTCATGAAGTAAAAATGTCTATGACCATTCAAAGCATATTCTCTTTGCCTTGCTTCATATGCATGCACATCAAGCACCTGAAACAACGAGATCATTATCAATATTCATCTACTTGCCATGGTAAGAAATATTCATCTAAGCATCTCTTTTACTCCTACGTTGCCAAATACACACGAAATATAAGCCCCATCAAAATCAAATGGTATATGTATCTGAATCAATGATGTACTCAATAGATCTAATGTGCACATCCACTGGGGTGTGCATGTGATGTGAATGGAGTACAAATAAACCCAAGACAATTCAACATCTATATACATTATTTTATATCTAGTAGGTCTTGACTGGTCAAATGCTGCATTTTGACATTGCAGGACCAAAAGGACACACGATTACAAATCCAAGTTACCTCTCCAACATATTCTATAAGGAACTGTCCTTGAGAAATATCCTCAAGTGCTTGAAGGCCATAGCCCTTCTTGCCACACCTGAACCACTTCAACTTGGCATACTTGCGCTTTTGAAACTGCATTAAATTTTTCAAGAACTTAGTTGAAACAACAATTAATTAAATCCCAAAAGTAGAATACATGAAAAATTTCAGGCACCTGTTGATTTGAACAAAGATCACCACACGGACAGGTTCCTTGAACACACTCAATATTGAGCATCCGATTCAAGCATTTAGCTCCACATCCCATTTTTCCATCTGGTGGAGGTTTGCAATGACAAACCATTACCTGTACACACACAACAAACCATAAAATTTCTGGTAGATTGAGCAAACTAAAATATGAATTTTAATGCATCATTGGTGTACAATATGAATTTCAGGATCTAAAATAGCAAGCAGCTCACAAGTATGTGATCAATTATAACTAATCTTTAGCATAACTTATCTTCACAAGTTCAACGGATTTATAACTAGTTATATACAAGCATGGCAAAAAAAATGTTAATACTTCACATTGGGAATACCCATGAACTTTTTTGAAGACTCTAAAAATGTCTAACAGGTGATCAAGCATTCTGGTCAGTAATAATGAATATAAAATGCTATAACAGCTTTTTGTAATAGAATATTCCAACGTACAGGTGAAGATCCATTTAATATGACATGCATGTTGACAAAGATAAACGAAATTTAGTATCATGAACGTCACAATTAATATAGACAGAATCAAGTATTGCCTCATCAATGGTTTGTGTTTTGCGGGTACGATGGAGAAAAAAGTTTGATTTAATGAGAGACCAAGATGCCTGCTGAGGAACTGTAAAATAAAAAATTTAATTCAATGTTAGAATGACAATAAATGCATATTTCTTTAAGACATGCTTTCTATAGTAATGAAATACCCTTTGGTTGATTTTGATTGATCTTGCGGAAGGTACCACCAGAGTCTTCCTCACAAGAAGCTTCAGATAATTCCAATTCTTCATTGATTTCTGAATTTGTCATCTCTTGAGGAATTGAGCAGTCAGCAAAGTCTGTATCTGTATTCTCTTTGCAAGACCTTTATCATAGAAATCATCAGATGAGCGAACCACTCTTTTCAACAAAAGGAATAACTCAACATCTAAAGATTAGGAAAAGTACATGTACTTCACAAACAATTACACTGTAGAATATCAGTAGTTCAGGTAGAGGCTAAGTAGGACTATTACATGACTAAATAATATATTTGAACTTTACAGACTGAGTTGCTTGGCCATCCCCTTAAACAGACTCAAGTAATGGTAATAAAGTCAGTAGGCTAATGTTCTCCAATATGTGGGCTTGGGCAGCTAATAAATATCAATTTTCCATTTGAACAGCAAACAAATAGATAAAACAGGGTAGTGAAGCTCCTACAGGAAGCTATAATCAACCATAAAGCATGTCATATTGCAACTGGTGCCATATTGCATCAAAGTTAATAAACCTCCAACTAAATGATTCTAGTACTAGATTATGAAAGAAAATGATTGATATTTGATATATAGGGGGTAAATAAGGCAAACCTGATTAAAGTGAAAGAAAGCCTAAGCCTAAAATTTAAGAAGATTAAAAGGGATTTTGGAGAGAAACCCATGCAACCTAGCAAAAATATATGAAACCATCCCAAGAAATAAACAAATTTATATGCAGATTGCGGTGTCTTTTTATTACTAGATTACATAAAGGAACAGTCTTTCTATTATCATAAAAAAAAAAAAAAACAAGATTATTAAATGCATGCTTAGGCCAAGACCAACAACAACAATTAAGAGTACTTACCATCCACAGTTGGTTTCCTCAATGTGATCGGCTAGTGTAGCTGGTATCCGCCTCCATTTATGGCACTCATCACAAAGGACCCATGCATTTCTTAGCCGACGAGATGAGAATTTCCGAGCCCCATTTTCTCCAAGATCAGGTGGTGCTTGATTTCCTAAAAGATGATAGAAAATGTAAAAAGTGAATTTAAAGGTTCAAATATCCTTTAAACATAAGGCCAGAAATTGCAGGAAAAATTGATGTATGCACTAATGTTCTTAATTTTTGCTTTCTTACAAGGATTTTAGAAGAGAAATGGCATTATTTATATACGCATGAATATAAGTTAAACTGTTACCTGCATCCAAGCAGCTCTGAACTTCCCTAATGACACCATTGGCACCAGCGTTTTCATTAGTTTGATATTTATTGCTTACATTGATTTTCTTTCCCTTCCTTGTAGAGTTTTTATCCTTCCTGTTGGGAAAATCAATGCTTCCAGACATACCCTTGCTTCCTCCCTTTTTTCTAGAGTGTTTACTGAAATTTAGCCCATTGCCACAAGAAGTTGACCTGTTGCGAACCTTCGAATTTGAGGATACAAATGTAGCAACAGGTTCAGGACAAAGAGTAGTTTCAGCACGATTTGAATCATTTCGTGAAGTTTCATTCGCATCATCAGCAGTTTTGCCACTCACTCCATAATCTGGAGGTGCAGTAGCAACATTTCTGGTTTCTGTAGCAGTTTGCTTGATTCTTAAATTAGAATCACCTACTTCATGGAGCTTATTTTTCTTCTTTCTTCTCTTAGATTTAGTTTCTGGAATATTCAGACTCATAACATCTCCCTTAGAGACGAGGACTCTGGAAGTATTTGAGGATTCTGAACCAGGTAACTTAATTTTCAAGGTACACTTACTAACCTGATGAAGGTTATCTTTCTTGCTTCCCTTCTTGGCCTTCTTTGGAGGCAAGATAAGATCTGATGTATCATTGGGAGATATGCACACCTTAGACATAATTTGACTTCCCTGCAAATCTGGTAAACCTTTTTCAACAAGTGGAGCATCAGGGACAGAGTTTATAACTTCTGAATCAGGAGAAGTTCCAACATCTGAACACATGTTTGCAGCTCCCAAATTATGACTATCTTCAAGGTTGGGGATGCGATGGAAGTCACGGGAAGCATTGAAAGATTGTTCATCAAGAGAACTCCTGTCATTGAGATGAGCACTCAAGCCAAATGCTTCAGAAGCCATAACCTTCTCTAAACTCCTTTCACATCTTGGTAACAAATCTTCAGGCACTTCTTCTCCCAGCTCATTTTTCATTGTGTCATGTAATTCCGGAACATCTTTTCCTCTTGGAGTGAAGTTTTCAGCAGCATTCCCCCTGCCACAAATTTGGTTACCAATTTTAATCTTCAAAGATATACGACCAGTTGGGGTCTGTTTCCCGAATGATTCTTGACCCTGGAGAGAATTACTTTTTCCTTTACTCCCTTTTGGTAGTGGTTTCTCATTAGCCAAATTTAGGTCAGTTCTGCTGTTCACTTCAGAATCAGGTAGTGTAGTGGGTACCCAAACAGAAGATTGTGCATCCTTGGAGACTGAATTTCTACTTTTCCTAAACATTTGCGAGTCATCCAAATTCACTACTGAGTTCTGGCCAGCCATCCTCTTACATTTTAATGTTTTTCCGGTCTCATTATTGCAATTTAATTCCGTATTGAATGCACTCCTTCGAGAAGATGTATATACAATTAAAGGAGGATTCAGTTTACAGTGTTGGTCAACTCCAAGAATAACCTCACCAGCACCATCTCTTTGTCCAGATGACTCCGCAACGCCGGATAAATCAAATGAATTATACTTACAAGTATCTTCAAAATTTTCACGGCGTTGTTCAGAATGGAAACCTTCGTCAATGGGATCAAAGGCGGAATTTTCAATACAATCTGATGCTACACCATCTTTCTGCCGCAATTGCTCGGAAACACTTATAGACTCAAAAGCCAAGAGAAGATCAGCATCTGAACCATTAGATTTTGCCATAGAAACCGATGGTTCATCAGCTATCACACAAGAAGATTCATATTGTGTGCTAGAAACACACATTTTCCCAGGGCCTGTATTAATCCCAGACAGGCCACTCTTTGTGTCACCACCGCCATTTTCCCCAGATGATATCTCAGTCAGGATATTTACCTGTTCACTGAGATCCATCAAAAATAACAAGAAAGCTATGCAGCACCGATCATTCAACCCATATAATACAACCTTCCCCTGAAAATTACCGCAGAAAAGCTAAATATAAAAAGGTGTAAATGATCATCCATAGGAAATTGAAAAACTAATGGAAAGAGCTATGAAAAAAAGAAGAACTTGAAAAAGCATAGAACAACAGAAACTCAGGCATCGAGAGATCAATCCAACTCTAGCCAGCCACTATCGAACACGGGAGATAAGCTCCACACGTATGGTATCAGATTATACTTTCTTTGAAATCTTACGACAAACTAAAAAAAAAAAGCAAATCCAAATATTTCCAAATAGCAGCTTTTTAGACCTCTTCAACTAACTTGAACGAAGAACTGGAATGAAGCAAATTCGTCACCTAAGAGCAGACGGACAATGCAAATGAACGTGTGGAGAATAAAAGTATGAATAGATTTGTAAGGCCCAAGATTCTATACGCGGACAGATCAAATTAGTTTACAATCAATGCCGGTTGAAAGACAAAATATTTCAAAACTTGCAAGAGACCGTGCACAATCACATCCAAACCCTAATTGCCAGCAAAATCAAAACCCTAATTCGATATATGGAAAGGCCAATGCCAAATCCAGAAAAACAAAAATCCAGCAACGGTGAAAACGAAGGAGATCGTACCTAGATGAAATCCTCAGGCACTTGAGAACGAACAGACGCAAATTCAATAACTAAAAAGCGAGCACAAAATTTGCTGTGTTCAAGTATGCATCTCTCAGGCAGGCAGAAGAACGCAAATTCGTTAGAGCAGATAGATATAGAGAGAGAGAGAGAGAGAGAGAGAGAGTCCGACCAAAATCTGATCGAGTTTTTCCTATCCAGTTGACGCACATACGCAGAGCTAATGTACAACACGGGAAGGACGACGTACAAGCGACTCAATGCAAGGTGGTGGGTAATTGACGCGTGGCAAAGTGGGGTATTATAGGAAATTCGAAGGTCAATGGTGCTCTGTTTTGCGTTTTGATTTTCTAATTTTAGGGTCTAAAATTCTTTTTTTTGTTTTTTTTTTTTTTTTTTTCATGAGAGTTGCTATATTGTGTATAGATAAACCAGAGTGTGTTTTGTTGTTGTGTTTTCTATTTTTTTCAATTTTCATTTTAAACCTAATTTTAGTTTTATAAGTATAAAATATAGGATTTGTTTGGCCAAAAGAATTTGTTTACTATGATATAAATATATATGTTAAAGTAATTTTTTAATATGATATAATGAATAATAAATAAATATTTAATTTAATATTTTTTAAAAAAAAATAGAGACAGTAAAACCACTCTTAAAATCATACAAATAAACACTCACACCTACATTTTCAATAATATTTATAAAAATTACTTTACTTAAAAAAAATTAGGCGAACAAACTCTGATATTATAAAATAATAATAATAAATCATATATACACATTCTGTTAGGATAAATGAGAAATGTGTATTTGAATACCAATTATGTAATAAATATATCTATTAATTTTTAACAATATATTATTATGAATTAAAAATAAACTATATATTGATAAAATAAATGATCAAAAATGTATCATCTTAAGAATAGAATGACAAATTGATATAGATGTGAGTAAAAGAAAGTAAAAAAAAACGTAAACCAAACTTAAATAAAAAGAATAAATACTTAATTTAATAATTTTAAATTAACAAAATACGTTATTTTACAAAACAAAATTCTATAAATTTTGAAGGTAAAAAAAGCTTAAGAGTCTTTACGAGTGTTTTTTTTCTAAAAATAGCATACATATTTTTTAAAATAAAATCAATATATCACAAATATTTATTAATTTTAAATTATTTACATAATTTTTTATACTTCACATACAATATATATATCTTCAAATAATTTCACAAAACAAGCACAACTTACAAATTGAAACAAAGACACTCCGACCAACAAAACATAAAACATGCCTTACATTTCTTCTTTTTAAGGCTGTGTTTGTTCGGAAGTTTGGATTTTGAATTGATATTTTAATAGTAAAAATTTTTAAATTTGAATAAATGTATAATTTATTATTTTGAATGTAAAATTAATTTGTAATATAATATAAAAAATAAAAAATAAATATTTAATTTAATATTTTTTAGGAAAAAAAATAAAATAAATAATAAATTTAAAATCCAATCCCCAAACAAACACACCCTAAATATATATTTTTCTTTTATTAAAATTACAAAAATACCTGATAGAAAACACCAAAATTCAATTTTTTAGAAAATTGGGAGCTTTTTGGACATTATTGGAAGTGTCATCAATCAAAATATTGATGTGAAATAATAAAGTAACGAATTATTTGACTTTTCTTCCAAGGATTAGCAACCATTTTCTTGAGAAAGTTCTTAGTATAATCTTTTTTTTAAATAAAAACTAATTTTTTTATTTTTTTTGTAAGATTGGAGCACAATAAACACAACCCATTATTTAATTCATTAGATTCAACTACAAGGGTCAATCGTAACCAGTCCAACAATTCTCTAGTGTTCAATCACCGTTGATTTCGGCTCGTAGACCCATCCCGACCGTTGAATAAATAAAACTGAAGATTTGTACTCTTTATACTATTTTAGTTTTTTTTTTTTTTTTTCAAGACAATTATCCCAATTACTAGTAAAATACACTTTATCCCCAAAACACATCCTCTAACTCTGGCCATTATTCCATATAGAATTCAAATACAATTTCTTTACAACTTTCTTGTTTAAATAAACCCTATTTTTCTCAACAAAATATAAACTAAACCCCACTAGTTAAAAAAAAAAAATAGAAAAAAGAATCTAGGTCACAATTTACTTAAAAATTCTACACTATATTTTGAGCATCCCATTACTTGCTGTTCATAAAAAAAAAATGTCAAAACTTTTTATAGTTCGTCTATATAGGCATATACACTCATCTGGTACAGCCATGTTTCAAGATCTGTTTAACCTAATGTTTGAGAAGATTATTCCATAAAACATTCTCCATGATATTTTACCAAGATATGAAACTAATAGAGGAAAATATGAGGCTCAGATCTGCAATTACAAAGGCAGCAAAGAGAAGGCAACCTGCCATGGCTGCAATCTCCGGATGCAATCTAAAAATGCCTTCCGGGATGCCACACCAAGATACAAGTTGAATCCTCCGTGCCCCCATCAATTAGCTCAGATTTTTCAAGACAAGCATATCATCACAGCCTCATCCTCAGTCACTTCTTAGGTTCTTCCCGACTCTAATCAATTCAAAGCTATCCCAAAAATGGGAGCAATAATTAAGGCTCCATTTACATAGAGATTGATCGATGGCAACCAGTCCTATTGTTAAGAACTGGTGCTGAAAGGGCTGTTGGCTTTTCTTCACAGGCTGAGGAAGAGGGGCGCAACCACCCTGTGTAAAAACCCCTCTCCATTGCCAATGGGCTTAAAATTCGACCAAATCAGTGCCGGTTACTAGTTTGGGGAAAACCCTAAGCAACCTGGGCAAGATTTCTCGAATCATATACCCATTTTCATAATTACCTCCGGAAGGAGGCAAATAACCTATCCAAAATCCAAACCCCCAAACAAACACAACCTGAGATTTCTCAGAAAACCCTAACCCTGAACCCTAATTTCGATTGTTTTAGGGTTTGTTCGGTTTCAGTTCTTCGGCGCATCCATCTCCTACAAAATATAACCGCATCAAAATGGCAAATACATTTAATGTAGAATACTGAACAATCTGGCAGATAATTATATTTAGCCATACCAACAAAATTCTAAGAATAATCTAAATACAAACCTTGAGTAGATGCATCGATCTGTATATATCGGAGCAAGGATAATCGGACACGCCATGGCTGCTAGAACCGGTTGCACATGAAGTGCCTTCCGTTCTGCCGCGCCAAGATACGGCCGAAATATTCTATGCTCGATCCAGTGGATCAGACCAAAAACCGGCGGTTCGAAAAAAAGTATGAACCTCACCGTTCAGGCAGTCACCACGGCGGAGCAGCAGGAAAGAATCCGTGAAGAAGAAGAAGAGGGAGAACCTGGTGCGGGCGGTGGCGGCTGTGGATGTGTAATATATTGGCTAGGGCAAAAGGGTTAAAAGTGCATTTTTATAAAACTAATATATTTTGGGTGCGTTTGTTTGAAGGATTTTGGAGAATTTTTACTATTCATTTAATTTTTTCCCCCCAAAAATATCAAATCAAACACCTATTTTTTATTTTTTATATTATACTAAAAATCAATTTTACATTCAAAACATCACATCAAACCCTATTTATATCACATCATACAACTAATCAAATTCAAAATTTTTACTATTCAAATCCCAATCCAAAATCCAAACCCCCAAACAAACACACCCTTATAATCTCTTACTGTTTGCATCAACTAATGAATAATTTTTAAAAAAACCAAAAAAGAATTTTTAAGTTTAAGCTGTTTCTAATTTTCTTTTTCTTTTCTTTTATGAAAATTCACTACAAATATTTATAATTTTATTTTAATAAATAATAATTAATTTATTATTGATTTTTTAATTTATTCAATTATGTTTTTTTTTTTTTTAATATTGATATATTTTTCATAATAATTTTATTTTACTATTATAATATATTATATATATAAAAATAAAAATAAAAACCCAACAACAACCACATGGGCCTGGATCTTAATGTGGGCTCATCTGAGATCAGCAATTATAATAAACCAATTATAATAAGGCTAATGAATTTGTGTTTCTTGTATACATTTGGAGAAGGTTACACTATCTATCAGAAATGTCTCTATTAGGACAATGTGAATCCTTTACATTCTCCTCTTCTTCCTGAACGATGTAAATTTTTATTTATTGGTTGTCAATTCAAAACCTATATTGCCAAGTGCATAACGCACTAAATTCAAAACAGTGAAATAAAAATTACCGTAGGTATGAACTAGAATAAGCCAACTGAATCAACTAAACATACAAAAAAAAATAAAAATATCAAGATGATGTTCACAAAATATATCATGATAATAAATAACCCAAAAAAAAACAAAAACACTGCTTGTAAATCTAATATTGCAATGTTCAAACAGAGTTCTAGAAAAAATTGAAATTAAGCAGTGAAAAAAATTCAGACACAAGCAAGACATTGTGCAGATTCCAACATTTTTAAAATTTATTATTTCTACAATCTACAAAAACAGTTTTAAGTAAAAAAACAAAACAAGAACATATTACTCCAAATTCCAAATTATACCCCAAAAAAAAGGGAAAAAAAAAAACAAACGCAGACGATCAATCTATAGAATCGGCAGCAGTGTCAATTTCAAGAGTCAATACCTCCAAGAACTTGCATCAAAGAAACAATGTTAACAAAAACAGAAAGAACCGTGCCTGACTGCTTGATGATGCCACTAGCTTAAAGATGGGAATTTTGTTGTAATCTACGAATGGGAAGATGTTTCGACAGTTGTTTCTTGATCCAACTCCTTGACAGCCTTTATAAGAGCCTTTGTTCTACCATTAAGAATCAAACCGTCCTTCTCCATCTGTTCTTCCAGCATTTCAGCAGTTTTCCAATCCGTAGCCTTCATGCAAAGAGATTTGATCAGTTTATTGTACTCATCGTGCAATGGACTAACCCCATACGCCTTCATCTGCTTCAACAAATTGACAGCCTTGTCAAACTGTTCAAGCTTGCAGAACCCTCGAATGAGTGAATGAAATGTGACGCGACTCAGTTTGGAGTGGCTCCGTTTGGCTTCCTTGAATATCTTGCACGCTTCCCCCATTTCGGCAACCCTTACATAACCACTTATAATCACACTATACGTGTACACATCCGGCTTTAAACCTCTTTTCTGCATCAAAGTTTTCAAATTCATGGCTTCCACAACATCCCCTGATTTAGCAAGCCCATTAATCACAAAGTTGAATACATCATTTCCGGGAGGGGGGCCAGATTCAATCATCTCATGAAGTAACTTTTTTGCCCTGTCAACATCTTCGATCCAACACAGCTTCTTTATGACACTTGAAAAGGGCTTAATTGCATACATCCGATCTTCCACCGAATAGTCATTCAACATCTCCAGAGCCAAGGACACGGTTTCTTTATTCAACTCCTTATTTCTTTCCTTGTCATCTCCTTCACCACATTTCTCAATTCTACCAAGAGATCGAATCAGAAATGTGACAGTTGATGGAGGCGGGCTAATATTCTTGTCCTTTGCATACACATAAACCATATGTGCATCTTTTGATCTTCCTCCTCTGCAGAAATAAGAAATTATATTCCCGACTTTCTCTGCATCAGGCAAATCGCCTGCACTCAGCATCTTTTCACAAACTGAGCAAGCCCAGTCGTAAAAGGACCTTTTGCATAGAGCTTCGATAGTCAAATAATATGTATCAGCATTTCGGTGACAACCAAACTCCTCAAACTTATTGAACACCTCAAAGGCTGCTTTCCCCTTCCCTAACCTCGAAAGTTCACTGATTAATTCATTTAACATCTTCGTGCTCACCAACCCTGCCGCCTTCTCCCCTATCTCCTTGATCAAATCCCACAATGCATATACTTGCATTTTCCTGTTCTCCACACATATAGCACTAATCAAAGCATCCACCATTGATGCAGTCAATTCATACCCAGGCTTCTTCATTACCCACCTAAAAAAACTAATCAAATTCTCCCCAGCAATATATGGAGTATTAAGCACTCTCAAAACAAGATTTTCATCCACAACCAAATCCATTCTTTCAAAATCAGCTTCTAAAGAATCCCTAGCAGTGCCACGACTCTGAAGCGAAGACAACAAATTTTCTACCTTTTCTGGATCATTCTCCATTTCTACGCCAGTACGCTCATCCACTATAACATCAGATTCCAAACTTTCGCCCGTCGCAGCACCAGAAACATCAACACTCCCCACCAAATTCTCCTCAACATTATCAAAAGCAGATTCCCAACTTTCAAGTTCTGTATTTTCATTTCCATCTATCTCATTTCCCTCAGAAAGGGGAAATCCAGAAGATGCCTCATCGTAACTTTCAGCTCGATTAGATGAGAAAAAACGAAAGCTATGAAAAACATCCGAGTTTCTTGAGAAAATTGGAATACGAGTTGCAGATTCAGCAGAGGGTAATGTTACCGATCCCTGGTGACGAAGAAGCAGAGAAGGAGCCAATTCTTGCGGCCTCGTCGCTCTCCAAAGCAAAACCCGTCTCGCCAATGCTCTCCACATCCTCTCGCCGATTGACTCCAAAATCGTGCAAGAAAACCCGACAGGCAGTGCTGCTGAGGAATAAAAACGAATTTGAATTAGGGTTAGTTTAATTACAAAAAGCAAGTGCACGGTAGACTTCCCCAACCGGTTTCGAATCGATAGCCCGAACCGCCTCTTCGACAGTTTCAAACCGGCGGTTTCGGTTCGAATCGAACCGAAGCTTCTGAACCGTAAACTGCCGGAGTTTCAGCATTTTTTTTGTATTATTTAAAAAATATATATATATAGAAACCTCACCTGTTCACCGGTCGCCGCGGCGGAGAAGAAGAAGAAGGAAGAAAGATGAAAAGAAGAGGAAGAAAGGAAAGAAAGGGGAAGAAGAACGCTGGTACAGATGCAGGCAGCGGCTGTGGTGTGGGTACTGTGGATGTGTTTTATTTAGGGTAAAAATAATTTAATTGTGTATTTTATTAAAATATTATTTTAAAATTAATAAAAGAATAAACAATTATAATAATACATTAAAAAACAATATCATCATTGCATATTTATATATTTTTTTAATTAATTAAAAATATTATTTTTATGTTGTCAACATAATTCTCTATATTTTATGATTAAAAATAATAATAATAATAATAAAAATCTAAGCATTTTGATAAGTCTTATAGAACATTACTAGCAATATTATTTTCAACTAAACTAATAATTTATTGACATTCTAAAATAGCAAGTGACAGGCCTGCACTGACAAGTCCAAAATGACTTACCTTTTTTCTCATGGCATAAATTAATAATTTCGTATTGAATTATATAACATATATTATTGAAATAATTTCTTTAAGGGATGCAAATTTGATAAATCGGGAGAGGTTCACTTTTCATAATCTGACCAAATGTTTGTAGCAAAATTAGATATGTGTTCTTGTTATTGATCAAATCTTTTGGACCACAATTTATTTATTTATTTGCAGCTATACATATGCATATATAATTATAATGACCTTAAACATTAATTTATTTTCTTCTTAATGAATATAATTTAATTTTGAAGCACATAAAATTGGAGAAATCCTAATTACTAATTAAAATTGTGAGCTTATTATCATTCAACAATGGCAGTGGTATAGCAAAAATATATCATTATCACTGTCCATGACATAGACATGATAATGATCAGAGAGATCGAATTAATTAAGAAGAAGAATATAACAATATTGTTGCATTAATTCGTAATTTCCTCAAACAACTAACGACACTTAAATATCTTCAACCAATTCTCCCTTCTGTAACAAACAAATTTGCTTTTTACATCATGCTAATTAATCTGTCATTATGGATGGATATGATCATACATAATTAATTTTGTTCATTTGAATAATGGGTTCTGGAAATCCTGAATGTCAATTGCATGTACCCATTTTTGCATTCTGTTTAATTGTTTAATTTCACTATCACTCGCCATCTTGACTCAGTTATAGTAACAGGATATACATATGCATATATATATATATATATAGAGAGAGAGAGAGAGAGAGAGAGAGAGAGGGGGGGGGGGGGGGGGGGGTTATGGAAATGGTATGGAAACACAAACCGAAGAGAAACACAGACAGAAGACTAAAATGGAGGTTTAACCATGAATAGAAATAACATATAACAACCCTAACACAAGCATTTCTGTCTATACAAACCCTAAAATATATATCTCCTAAACACAAGACAATACGAGCACTGAAGATTGAAGAAGAACAAGGTATGGTAATTAAACTTGCCCACCATTGCTAATTCAATTCAATTATTCCCTCTTGTAAATATTTCCTAGTTATGAATTTATCTCTTGGATATGTTCATAACAAAGATAAAATTCATAGTTTTCTTCTGTTGGCCTCTTAAAGCTCTTTATATATATATATATATATATATATATATATATTGTTGAACAGGATTATTACTTAAAAGATCATTATCGAAATGGGAAGAGGGAAAGTAGAGATCAAAATGATCGAAAACAAAACAAGCAGACAGGTGACATTTTCGAAACGAAGAGCTGGTCTGATGAAGAAAACCCATGAGCTTTCTGTTCTTTGTGATGCCCAAATTGGACTCATTGTCTTCTCCAGCAAAGGCAGGCTCACTGAGTACTGCACCCCTCCATTAACGTAATCAAGTTTCAATTTTTAATTAATTTTATCTTTGATAGGTTGTTCATGATTTGTTGAATTAAGCTTTGGTTGGAGAGGAATCCCTCGATGTGCATGCTTTTTATGTGGTCCAATCTTAATTAATTATGTCTGAAAGCTCGCAACACTCATCGGTTCATACAGAACTTTCAGCAAATAATTAATTAATTAATTTGCTCTTTCCATTTCATTGAGTCGTATAAATTTTGATGAAGGTTTTTAACTGCTCTATTTCCGGAAGTTTGTTTATTGGCCATCACTTTCTCATTGACCTCAAATTTTTTTTGGATTAGCCTTTCGAAAAGGTTCCCACATAGTTAATTTGGAGTTTGTTTTTTTGTTATTTCAATAGGAAATCAATACTATTTACCTGTATATTTTAAAATTTAAATAAAAATTCAAATCATTTTAAGATCAATTTCGAACCACAACTAAATAATCGTCATGGCTGAATTAACTCATTTCTTTAGTTTGTTTCTTCTGCCTTTTTTGCCATAACTAGTGCTTGAATTGTGTGATATCCTCATAGAATGAATCAGATTATAGAGAGGTATGTTAAGGCCAGGCCAAATGTTTCGATACCCGATCACATAGGACCAGCTCCATACATTAATGTAAGCACAATCTACAGTTAATCTCCATATTATAACTCCTTGACTGATTATAATGGCGTCAAAAAACACTTTGAATCCGTTGAATCATCGCGGTTAATTGTTCGCCCACAGGAGCAAGTTCAAAGGGAGTTGATGCGAATGAAGAGCGAAACTCTAAATCTTCAGTTAAGCCTTCAGAGATATAAGGGGGATGATTTGAGCAATGTATGTTTTGAGGACCTAACCCAATTAGAACACCAGCTTGAGCAAGCGGTGCTTAAGGTTCGAAGCAGAAAGGTACGCGGTAATTTCCAATTAGTGGTGCTCAAAATGATCAGACATAGATACATACACATGTATTAATTAATTCAATCTGTGTTTGTCATCTGCTTTCCAGTTTCAGCTTATCCATGAGCAGCTGGAGAATCTAAAAAGAACGGTAAATCGACACAAAACCATCAATTATATCCATCTATCTATTTGTTGGTTTAGAGTTTAGAGTAGTGATTCCCTGTGGTTTTGCATCTTTGCAAAATGTAGGAGATACTGCTGGAGAAAGAAAATCAAGAAATGTACCACTGGGTATACAAATTAAATTATAAAAAAATCATAGGTATAATGTGATGTCTAAAGATTGTGATTATATGTGCAGCTGATGAACAATCAGATTCAGAAGCAAGCAGAAATGGAAAATCAGCAGCAGCAGCAAGTGATGACAGAACTTAAGTTAGTAGAACAACAACCATTGTCAAACCAGTTCCTGTTCTATGGAGAGGATCTTCAGCTTGGAACTCAAATACCTCTTCAGACACAAACATACCATCTCCAGCCTACCCATCCTAACCTCCAAGACTCTACTCTACAATCAGCTCCCATGGGTACGTACATATGCACTTCATAAAAAACTTGACAATATGCATATAATGCTTGATAAGAGCATATGTATTCTATGCAAAATACTATTGTACTGTAGATACTAATGACATGTTTAATGTGATTTTGCAGAGTGAATAGAGGCCATGGCCAATGACTATATAAGGAAGAATTTGCATATTATTACAGCAAACAAAATACATAGTAGCTAATTGCTAGTACATATTTCACTATTATGTTTTATACTGTTCTTCACAGTAGTTTTAGGCTAACTGCACGGCCGTAAGCACTTTGATCCTAAAGACATTCTTCGGGTTACAGTTAATGTAATTGGATCAATGACAAATGGCATGATCAAATTTCTAGCATCAACAATGTTTGTTTCCTCAAAATATTAGTATAATTGTGCAAGGGTAACGCATGTATACTGAATGTAATGAATGATATCGGCCCAGAAAATGCATAAATGAAATAGCAAGTACAGCAAAGCAAAGCTAGCCCAAACAAGATTTTATCTTATCTGCACCATTAAACAAATCTCAAAGAGGAAGGATATAATTTATAGATATACAACTTATGTTAGAAGTAACTATGTAAACCTTTTGGATGTAAACTGTATAGATTGCATTGATTAGGACAAAAAAATAATAATAAAGAGATGTGTTCGTTTTATGTTGTATTATTAACAGTCTGGATTCAAAGGGCTTTCTGATCAAGTCTTTCATTCCAATTCAAGCATCGAATCAAACTACGAAACCAATCACCTGTTTGGTCAGACTTGTTGACTGTTGGGAGCGGATGTTGGCTCATGGATATCCGAACAGAATCTCCTCTCGAGAGTTGCTGCCTTCTCTTCCCATCGAAGGACACCCACGCATTGCTTCGTGCATTTTCTGGAATCTGTAAAATGAATGTTGGAGAAGTTATTTGGGTTGTACTATTTCTTGAAGGGCAGAACAGAACAAAACAGATACCTTTAATTCAAGCCGAGCAGAATCTGGAAGTATGACTGGTCTGAATGATAGAGAATGAGGACAGATTGGAGTAAACAACATACATGGAACATTTGGGTGTACCTGCATATAGAAAAGTGGAAACAAGAAACAACAAAAGTTCACACCATTTTACAATATGTCTACTTCTAAACATGGTAGGTGCATCAAATAATATATTGCAACATTTAAATGGAGTCTGCCACACAAACGTATGCAAATCTAAGACTCACCATTTTGCTTTATGTATATCCAACCCAACACTTAGAGACACTTCCTATTTAAATTTTCAAGAACCTCAGATAAAAAAAAAAAAATTATCTCCGAAGCAGCAACTTACCATTGAACCACCGGCGGCTGTGGAATAAGCAGTGCTTCCAGTGGGAGTAGCAATTATGACGCCATCACCTTGTACCTGTCCGAAAAATAATTGCTTATTTTAGACCAAAATAGAGTGCTTGAGCTTGACTCTAAGGTTTTGAAAATAATAGTTGTCTTGATAGTATGTATTTAACCTCCTAATATCTTTGAACTTCAATGCATAACCTTTAAGCACACAATTCATGGTAACCCACCATACCTTTGTTATGAGGCGGTCATGATCATAACATTCTATTTTTGAAAGATATGGGTTAGAACCACGATCAACAACAACTTCATTGAGGACGCTAAATATCTTGCCAGGCACTGCTTTCCCATTTCTGAATATTTCACAGTGGAGACGCATTCTAAGAGTAACATAAATTCCATCAATGGTGTAGTTCCCATGAATCACTTGTCTTAGATCTTTCCTATAATCATCAAACTAAAGTTCAAAGTACGGGAATCAGAAAGAAGTGTTTCTCATAAGCTTGCAAAATCATCATCAAAGATTGAGATCAGGGACATACAGTATGTGAGGTGAGAAACCCTAGGGATCCAAGATTAAACGAAACAACAGGAGGAACAGCACCTCGAAACAACTTTGATGCATGAAGTATGACCCCATCTCCCCCCAAGCAAGCTACAAGATCAACTCTCTGATGAAGGTCACTGCAATTGCAATGGGATGGAAGGAGGCAAGAAAGCCTCCAGATCAAAAAATAAAGCATCCAATCAAAATAACAATAATAGAGATAAAAATCAATGCCAGAAGTTTGAGCACCTTGTATCTTGAGTATAGAATGTCTGCACAAAACCAAATCCTGATATCCTAGAAAAGACATCATGAACCTCTGGTTCAACAAGAACATTCATCTTCTCATGGAAATACAGGAAAGAAGCAACCTGGTATAAAGGTGGAAACAACTGTCACATTGATTGAATTAATATTTGAGGATTTGCAAGATAAAATGAAATGAAATCAAAATACCAATGGAGGGAGAAAATACCTATAAATGTATAAGAATCACATAAAGAGCAGATATTGATGTTGCAACTATAATGCCTTTGCTAAAATTTATATAAAAAATTAAATAACATGCTCATAAAACTGGAACAAAGAGACAGTGAGTAACAAACTCAAGTGGATAATGCCAGTGCACAGGATAAAAGAAAGTTTAATTAGTGCATGGAAAACTTTAAGTATGTCTAAGCATAGCTGGGGAGGATGCTCTAACCAAAGGATACAGACCTGTTTAGCTTCTTCCATGACCTCTTCGCCCAGTTTCTTCAATAACAACACAGTCCTTGGGGTAGTTTTCCACAAAAGCAGCTGCTGCTGAGTGCTGGGATGACTGAATGCCAAGGAAGATTCTCTTACCTTTGCTCTAGTGCAAGAAAATCCATCAGTTCTAACTAAGAACATCTCTGCTTTCTTTCTAGACTGGACTCGTACAACGCCAGTTTTTGAAGCACACATATCTCCTTCCATCATTTCCAAGCTTTCATCATCTGAAGAGAGGTAGCTTTCAGCATCACTTTCACTCTGCCCAGTAACCATAACAGAAATGGCACTCTCCTTTGGGTCATTCCTTGTGTCTGTAGAACTGTTTTTCAATCTCGTTTCAAGCGCCCCACCACTGGCTTTATCTATACGAGGAACAGGACTAAAGAGAACACTAGGATCTGGATATGAACAGTTTGTGACAGCCTTGATCTGACCCCTTGAGGATGATTTAACATTGCCATCCACCAATTTGTTTATAATCTTCTCTTCACTGGGACCTAATCCAGAGTGAGCTTCTTTGTTTGAGAGAGATCCATTTTCCTCAGCAGATGACATATCCAATCTTTTCTGCCCATAACCAAAGAATGTTTGAGGTGAAAAGCTTTTGTTCGTGAAAAACCTTGACATTTCTTTTCTAGATAAAACATCTGAAGGAGGTAGTTGAGACTCCAGTGGTTTCACATCTTCCCACAAGTCAATAGTTGATTTCACTCCACCTTCCTCATTGCTTGCTTTGGTATTCTCAGCTCCTTCAGTGTTTTGAGATTGATATGTCGTGGATGGAGGATCTCGATTCTTAGATGGTCCTGCAGAACTATAAGACACATCAGATTATTGAAATACTAAAAATTTTTCATTACGAGAAAAATTACCATCTAAAAGGCTTGTTTGTAAAACCAGAATCTTCACCTTCTTGAACATCGTGAGCTCTGAGATCAGTAGCACTGGCTTGCTTTCCAGTAGCTGCAATCTGATCTACATACTGCCTCCACCTAAAGATCATAGAATAGGTCCTCCGTTTTCCTTCCTTGCTGTGTACATAGATGGGCTTTTTACTCGAATCGGCCACTATAGCTGCAAATTGAGCAATTTGCTCCAATGAAGGTACATCACCAGCTTCAATTGGAAGTTTAATGAGTTCAATTTTCCCAGAAGAAACAGCTTCGTGTACAGCAGTTTCATAAAAAATATCTTTTACAAACTCTGATCTCAGATCTACAATAGTTCTGAATCCTTTCTCCAGAAGCCACTTCAAACCTTCTTCTGTCACCTGTCCGCCCTTCCAAAAAGCAATCTCCATGTTTTCTGAGTGTGCCCCCTCTCCTCTCGAGGAGGACAAAAGAATAGGACCCCAGTTAGCAAACAGTGTATGGCAAGGATGATCATCCCCTCGTGGGAACCCAGAATCACAGCATACATTTTTTAACCTTTGCAACTTCCTCCAAACATTTAAGCTCTGTTCATCACCAGGTGTCAAAGAAGACTCTAGGGCAACATGTAAAGTCTCACAATAACTTTTCATCTCAGATTGGAAAGTAGCAAGGGGCGGAAGGTTATCATTCGTGATAGTAGTAGCATTTAAGTCTTGGAATGAATTCATGATGGAAGATCGTCCAGAAAGGACATCCTCCCTTCCCTTGTCAAGAAGGCAAACCATGCATCCAAGAACATAAACTATTTTCTCCTCTAGCAACCTTTTACCCTCTGATGACATTCCATTCGAAACACCAGATTTCCCAGTAACTGGATAGTGCAATGCAGCCATTAACGCATTATGAAACTGTTCTGCTGCCCTGAATATTCTACAGTAAGCCTCGACTTCAGCAATGTCCCCAGGAAGTGGCCCAACCCATGGCAAATGGAATGAATCCGCTTTCTTCATTTCACCATGAAGGAAAAGAAATAAAAGAAAAAATACCTCAATCTTTAGTGCATACAAATAGCAATGAACGTCCTAGGCTATTAGAAACAATGATCAAAATTACCAAATTCATAATCCATCAAATATCATTCAACATGCAAGAAATCTTAGAAATGGCAGCATAATGCTTCTGTTTGTGCAAGCAATCGAACGCAAAAACATGAAACCATTTCAGAAACCAAAAGTACTTTCAATCTGAAGCTATATATGATCAAGGCATTTTCATAGGGAATAAGTCGGTTGATTGCAGTTGATCAGAATTGTCGATCTAATTGCTTCAATTAATCAATTCCTAAAATAAATTAAACAAATAATCTATTAATTCAGCAAATCATTGCACTCATCGAACCCTAATAGCAGCATTTTCAAAAACCCTGTGCATACACTATATATATAAAAAAAAAAAAAAGTGACCTGAGAATCTAGACCGATGTCCATTGACAAGGAGCTGGACAACTGAGCAACGGCAATTCCCGAACGGCGGCATCCCACTTCTAGCCATCCTTTCTTCTTCCACTTTTGGAACAAAAAATCGAATTCTGCCCCGGAAATTTTGACACAGCTGCGCCGCCGGCAAAAAGACGCGGCTCCAGCGGGTCTACTGGCGTAATATCGGCGCCGGCAATTGTTGCAACTATTCGAAAAATAATAACTCGGTGATGTCGCCATACCACCCACCATCGATCACAATAATTGAATCAGTGATGTCCTTTCCTTTCCATGGATGGAAAGACGAATAAACCTAGCTTATATCTAGGTTTAAACGGCCAATCCGCATGGAACAAACAAACGATTCCGGAATATTTGGTAGGCGAATAATCCACTTACGATTCGTGGATGCCGCCGATCGAGCAACCGAGGAAGAAGAAGTCGTAGAAGGGAAAACAGAACACATTGGGACACTCACAGAAGATTATTATTATGTAATAAATTCGGATTAATGAGAGAAACGATTTTCGGGCCAACGGTAGCTGAACCTCATTATTCTATTATTATTATTATTATACATCTAAACATTATATACAATATTTTTTAATTACTCCATTGAATATTAAAATACAGTTTTTTTACAAATCTTCTTCATCATTCAACCAATATCAACGACGGGAGCAACCAGGACATCTGTTCCCAAGAACCTGTTAAACTCCATGGTAAACCTGATCAAGTTTCGAAGAAATTTAATTATATCAGATAGCATTCAAATCATCATCAGAGAGACAGGTGAATTCATTGATCTTACCTTGAATGTTTTGTTAGCTTGTCCTACAAAGAGCTTCTCCTGCTGATACAGTAGAGCTGTTACTGCAGAATTGCAGGCAATAGAGCCAACAGGTGTTACTTCCAAGCCATCTCTGTGTTCTGATATTTCCTACACAACAAAGAAGATGATCGTCAAAACTTCTAAATAATTTACCATAAGATACAATCAAGAACTCGACCGGTTACTATTCATCAGATGATAATTCAAACATAAGTTTTGAATTATTTGAGAAGCATAATTTGCAGATTACATTGAATGTAACTCTACCTGTAAAGTAATCGTCTTGTCCCAGCCCCCGCTAAATAGCCATTTCCCCTTCTTGCTGATCGAGAACACGGCCCCTTTGTGAGTTTGTGTCGACTTCAGAAGTAAATCATTACGCCATATCTGAAGAGAAGGGAGACTTATCAGCAATTCTTGTCGACAACTAGAGATCAGTTCAGTGAAATGGTAAAATGTTTACCTTTATGCAGCCATTATCATGACCAACATATAACTCAGAGTGCTCGGCAGAAAGACACGAAACAGGTAACATACTTTCAGTTTTGTCCTCCCCCAGCACCGCCAAAGGAGCATGATCACTGAGAGACCACAGGCGTACGGTACCATCCCAGCTACCGCTATAAAGAACACCATCACAAACGACGAGGGATGAAACAACTGATTTGTGGCCACCCATAGCACACGACATGGTGTAATCCTGAACAGGAGAAGAAAATCGATTTCAGGGCATGCATTATATAATAATAAAGATATAAAATAGGGAATGAATGAAGAGTAGACCTGCAGCGACCACGCTTTTACTAATTTGTCTCCACTTCCGGTATACAGATATTCCATTCCAGAAACAGCCATTGCATGAATACCACTATAGCGCCAGTCCTTCTGCTCGTGCAACTTTCTTATAGGCATTTCGGAAAATGGAAAACTGGCCTTCCAAATGCATATAACGCCGGCTCCATCACCACTTATGCACAGTGGCTGTTCTCCATCTACAGCAACAACAGCCATAACTCGATGCTCGTGGCCTTTGAGTGATTGCACTTGTTTGAAATCCTGAGGGCCAGTAAATGGGTAAAGATTATTGACAAAACAAACTTAAGCCTTAGTTAATATATGGCCTCGGCCAAAGTTTAGAGTATAAAAATGTATAGAATATGGTGCGTGCAAACCAATTCTACGAAGGCGTTGTTGCAAAATGTTTACCTGAAGAGACCAAACTTTGACTGTCTTGTCATAAGAAGAGCTGAAAACGAAGCCCCCTGTAAAAAGAAATAGGTCGATAATGATGCTAATGATAAATTAATGTATTCGTAACTTCGAGGTTACAATTTGAACCATCAATGGGCCAACAATACCGTAAAACATCAAAAGTCAAACTCCGTGCACTCCTATCGCATAAATATGGGAAGATAGACAATGCCTAGATCACGGATAAATTTGATGGTAAAACTCGAACACTGAATTAATGCACAATACTAACATACGAGCAGTAATAAAAAGATAAAAGGTTGCAATTCAATACCTGCAACAGCTAATCCTGTGACACAATCAAGGTGACCTTTCATCTCTACATATTTGAAATGGCCACCTGAAACAGCGGCCGTAATATCTCTCTCACGACTCAATTCAACATCAGCTTGGTCATTTTCACTTCTTCCCATCAATTCTTTGCCACTTTTTCCATCTATCTGACTGAACTTTGCCAGCACAAAGTTGCTTGAGTTTTCCTTTGTCAGTTCCCGATTTAAGTGGAGTATATTACAATACTTTGCGTCTTTGACAACTAATTCCTTTAGGGTCTTCCAAAGTTCAGTTATAGCAGGCCGATTTTCAGGTTCAAACTCCAGACATCTGCACAAAACCTCCCCTAAAGAAGCATTTTCGTCGCCCAGCCTACTTTCCAGTAGCATCGCAACTTTCTCCATCCAACCCGTGTAAAAATCAGGAATTCCATCTTTTATAGTACTAATACTACCAACAAAATTTATGTAAGATCCCAACTCTTCCACAAAAGAACTTCCAACAATCAGCCAAACTAGCAAACAGGCTAACGACCACACATCCGAAGCACAGCCAATTTCATATTTCGATTTATCCCTATCCAAAACAATCCCTTCTTTTACATGGAACTGTAACAACATCTGAGGACAAATGAAGGCGAGATTTTCATCTAAAACACTATTTTTCAAACCAACTTCCATATCTTTGTGAGCATTTAGCATAACCATACTTACCCTCCTGCCTGTATGGAAAATCTCGCATAAGTCAATAGTTATGCGGCCAAAATCATTGAAACTTAAACAATCAACACTCAACAAACCAACAACTACCCCTTCCAAATGCAAGTGGCTCAAATTTTCACAAGCCTCCATTCCAAGCATTGCAAAACCACGCATTTCATCACTGCTCAACCCTTCATCTTCATCACTCTTTTTCTTAAGGATAAATTCACTCAAATTAGGCTTAGTGAACTTCTTGCAGACCATATAAAAACACTTGTTACTCCCGTTGTACCATAATCCATACACCTTTCCCACGTTACTTACTCCATTAGTAGCATTTAAGATAACTCTCAATTCATCTCTTTTTTCTTCTTTCATCCCGCGCAGAAGACTCACAATTTTTGACTCGTAGCTAGGGTTCAAGAAACTGATTTGTTGGTCATTCTCTACAAACATACCAATTTTGGCCAGGCCAACCTTTTCTCTCTCCTTCAAAACACACCCCACCGCATAATCGCTCTCAAATGGCTTCGAAACTTCTCCATACACTGTTTCATCATCATTCCCCAAACCCGTCTGGTCAATCAGAATGCAATCTTCCGGGAGAATCCATTTCCTCCACTTGCAATAGAACTCGTACGACCACGATTTTAAAGTCAATGGAAGCAACCCCGTCTGCTTTTCTCCATTCTCCGATGGAGATGTTCGCGAAGCAACATCTTTAACCCCTGCTCCATGGCTGCCTTGGAGAACAGACGAGAAGTGCAGGAGATCAAGGTTCTTGGGCAGGGATGAGGGGCAATTTGGGAATTTCACGAGGAGAGTGCAGACGGTACAGCGGATTGTATTGGGGAAGGGATTGGGAAGCTGTTTGAGGCAGAGCTCACAGGTAGTATGCCCACACGTCAAAACGCGCGGTATCGCGGATACGGCGTCGTATGGCTGCAGACACACCGGGCACTCCGGCGGCTCCGCCGCCTCCATGGCGCTGCGTCGAAACCTAAACCCCCTTGCGATGGAGCAGAGAGGTACTTTCCATTTTTAAACCTGACCTCTTACTATACGACAATTTATAGATTAAACAGTAATTATAAAGTCAATTTGAATTTGGTACCCAAAAAATAATCACATTTATTACATTTAAATTAGTTTCGGATTTTATTCTAGTTACCTTTTTAAACCCCACGAGTTTTTAAAATGTTATTAACGTTAATATCATAAAAAGTTAACATCTTTGATGAAAAAATCAATGTCTTTGCTTACAAGAACACAAGACAGCAAATGTCATTTACATCATACACAACATCGAACTTTCATGAAATACTGCTGCCAACGCTCGACTGCTCCATTGATCCCTTGCTCAACGTCGACATGCTGTACCCAAAAGACATCTCCAGCGGCTCATGTCTGAGCGGCGCCGGCCGCGGCGGCAGTTCCGGGACATCGATGTCGCCTTCGAGCATCCGGACAGCCTCAGCAATAGTAGGTCGAGCAGCCATCGTCACATGAGCGCATAGAATCCCGACCTGCGCGAATCTTTCCATCACTGTCTTCGGCCCTTCTTGTCTGATCGAGTCGTGGAATATCTCCTCGACTCTTCCCGATTTCAGACACTCCCAAGCCCAATCGGTGATCAGCCTCTTCCACGGCTCTGATGCATCCAGCGCCTTCCGGCTACTAATAATTTCCAAGATCAGTATCCCGAAACTATAGACGTCAGTTTTCTCAGTTAAATGTCCGTAAAGCGCATATTCAGGCGCCAAATATCCGCGCGTGCCGGCAACCCTTGTAGTGACATGAGACTCGCCACCGGCATTAACCTTAACCAACCCAAAGTCAGCCACTTTGGCCCTCATGTCCGAATCCAACAAAATGTTAGTAGCTTTAATGTCGCGATGGTACACAGCTGGATTGATCCCGTAATGTAAGTAAGCCAGCCCTTTCGCAATGTCGAGAATTATATTCTTCCGCTGTGGCCAGGACAAGTGATTCTTGCCGCCATCGACGAACAAATGATCATCGAGGCTGCCATTACACATGTAGTCATAAACGAGGAATCTTCTCTTGCCCTGAAATCTCTCGCTGCTGACGCAGAATCCCCTCAAAGACAAAAGATTTCTGTGCCTAATCTTGCTTATGATCTCAGCCTCATTAGTGAATTCGTCGTCCCCTTTCGAATCCAAATCAAGAACTTGCTTGACGGCCACTTCCGCGCCCCCCGGCAGCGTCCCTTTATAAACGATGCCGAATCCGCCTCTCCCGATCACATTCCTGTCTGAAAATCCATCCGTAGCTTGCTCTAATTCCGATATATGAAACCATTTGGCGCCAGTGTTGGGCTGAACTTTCGATTTCATAGAAACAACATAATGTTGATGCACCATTTCTTGATTCATCTTCCTACTCCATCTTCTGTAAAACAAGAACACAAAAACTGCAAGACATGCCCCCAAAAGACCGCCGAGGATGCCCGAAATCAACCTCACTTTACTACTGTTCGATCGATCGGCATTCTTATTTGCAGCTAACGGCAGACGGAGCATACAAGAAGCAACTCTCACATCCTCAGGGCCAAAATCGTTGACTATAGCAGCAGCATAGAACACTACGAAGAAGAAGCATTTTGTGGAATTAGGACCTAAAGAGACAAGGTAAGAATTGACCTTAAGCCCTGCGTCCAGACACGAACCGCAGCTAACCATCCCAGTCAGCGAATCGCTGCTGCAGGAAGATTCGAGAGGGATGTTCCTCGGAACTTTCTGATTCCAATCGTTTAATGTCGCAATCCCCGCGCAGCTCGACGGCTTGTTCGCAAACTCCCCTGTGTCGTTGAAGCATTCGCCGAAGACATCTCCCGAAATCGACAGCGGTCCGAGGCTGTCCCGAAAGTCCAGCAGGCAAGACGACGAAGTGTCCGCATCAGGCAGGTAAAACCTCGAGGTTCGATTGAGGTACTCGGCGAGCCCTATCCCTAAAACGCCCCTTAGGGTTTGGCAGCACTCCGGATGAGGCGATTGTCGGCAGGGAGAAGTGTCCCATGGAAAAGTCCCGACGTAGGTAAAATTAATAGGGCACGACGATCCTACGGAGGAGCCAAACTGAATCGCCGGCAAGACGAGGAAGAAGGAGAGAAGCGCCGCCGCCGACATTCTTGGCAATTTCAGGCAACTGCACAGAGCACACAGACAGATCTATGCTGCGATTCTACCGTTGAAGAAAATTTTTCAACCACGAAAATTCCGCGACCAAGTGAAAAAATAAATAAATAAAAATTTATTTATTAATTATTGCGACAGGCGCACATACTTGTCGACTAATCACCTTTCCAACTATAATCAATCAATCAATAAATATTTTTCGAAAGTATATAGTGCTTTTCAAGAATTAATTGAATGAGGACACGTCAGCTATAGAATTTTAAACGAATATCTTTGAATATGATCGATCGATCGATTTATATGTTGTACAACCCACAGTATTTTCTAAACAAGTGAGTGTCCTACATTGGATATATATATATATGTTGACAATTCTCTAATTTATAGTTTCATAAGAATGAAGAACAATTCTTTTTGTTACTAATTAATTTGCGTTTATCTCGAGGGATTATTTTAACATATCATTCTTAGCTTGTCGTAGAAAGTAATAGATTAACAATACTATTTTGTACATATTTGAAAATCGATTCATTTAAATTTAAATAAAAAAAATTTAGGGGGTTTTGATCTTAATCAATTAAATTAATTAGATTGAATTTAAATTATTGATTTATTTTTAATCAGACTTGTTATGGATTCTACTATTGTGTTCTAGTGCCTGTATACAATTAATTATTGCGAGGACGGAAAGGCTTACGTCATACCTCTTTACAAACACGTGCAATAATGGAGCAAAAAGTTAAAAATAAATAGTAAATAACTCTAATTATGTGTATCCTCTCCAAGTGTCCAGAGAAATTTTAATGCTCAAAAGCATAAAAGTTGGCCCATAAATCCAAATGCTTCATTATTGTAGAAATTATAATTGAAATCCAAATCTACTGCTACCCAAAATTAAATAGGTATTGGGAATTAGGTGAAACCAAGATTCAATTTTTAGATCAAATCTCCACCGTTGGATAATTGAAAGTGATAGATGGTCGGTCAATATATGCCAAATCCCAAATCGTTATTGTACCTCGAGAATCATCCAAAAAAGTTGCTACTTTCTTTGTGGGCTGGACAGCACTACAAAGACAGGTTTCAGTTGAGAAAAATAAAATAAAAATTAAAGGCCCATTTAAAACATATAAGATATAAACTATAGTTGGATTCTTGAATCACTTAAATAAATGAGATAGGGATAGGGATGAATTAAACTTGTAACCATTCAGTATCGAGTATTCTTACAGTGAAAATCCACAGACAGCCCTTTTTAGGCTTTTGTTAACACCCAACATCACATTAAAATTGAAAACTCTTCTAAATCGATGTCGATCAAAAACAAATTGATCAATAACTTGTCTTGAATGGCTTGTAAACCTTAAGATCCGACACAACTCCGGCGAAGGACCCGACGGCGGCGGCGACGGATATAACAAGACAGCTGACACTAAGGATTTGGAGACAAGTCCATTTAGCTGTCCATTTAGGAATCTTCTTCTGCGCAATGTACATCTCCACAGGGAAGTAAACTGTAAGAGGCCAGAATCCGAATGCCCCGAGGATTCCAACAACATCGTTGAAAAACGGCATGAGCATTGAAATGATCGTTGTAATAATCACGAAGATCGTTCGCCAAACGAGCCTGAAAAGATTGAGCCTGTAAGGGCGGAGACCAGGGATCGGGACCATGATCTCGGCTGTAATGAATTTGCTGTCGGGAAACCAATTGGAGGCTGTTTTTTCGATGAATGCGAAAAGGGGTTGGCAAAAGACTTGGTACGCGCCAATGAGGTGGACAACAATTGCGACATTGGCGATGTCTAGGAGCCAATAAGGATTGTAGAATCCGAATCCTGTCAGGAGGTTGCCGGGGGACAGGTCGCCGAACGCGGCGTACCCGAAGCAGCCACAGAGCATGTAGAACACTGTCGTTACAGCCACGCTAACAAACGTTGCTTTCTTCATAGTTTTGTGTTCTGACGGCGGAGATTTTATTGTGTCCTGTGGATTGATCGAACAGGGGAGATGTCAAATTCCTGTTTTTGAAATATGAACTGAACAACGTTTGAATTTATTACAATGGAGATTAAGGTTACCTGGATTTCGATCAGTACGAGGGAGTAAGAATAAGCAAAAGCTATGGCGCCAAGAGCCTGGAAGCTTCTCCAGATCTTGTCGAGTTCAGAGACTGAGCCTGAAGTTGTGACAGTGCCGACGCTGATTCCTGTTAGACTTCCCTTGATTTTGCCATTGACTGCAACTTTTCCGATTCCGAGGCCCAATCCGATGGAGGAGTAAGTGAATGACATTATTGCAGCTACGATTGAAAGCCACCATATCTGATCGAAATCAGGGATTTGGGAGAAGATTATTTCGACAACTCCGAAGGCAATCATGTAAGGATTGCTTGAAACTCTGCAGGGGCTGTTGTCCCCTTTCGTGTGGAAGCAATTCGACCTCTCAACAGCCCTGTCGATAAAAGAATAAATAATTAATTAATTAAAATTATGATTTTTATTATTACATCATAAGTTCAAAAATTCTTACTCACATCATGCTTATGGATGCAGCAATGGTGTAGCCAATGGCTACTCCGAAAAGATTCAGGTACTGAATTGCCCCGCAAACCTTAACCTGAAACCCACCTGAACGAAGCAAAATCCATGGTAAATTGGTAAATCTCAATTTCAGAAACGTACAATTAAAAGCAGATTTATTTTTATTTTTTTTTTTCAGACAAATTAAACATACCAAGATTGGATCTGACAGCGTCCATGTAAGTGTAGTTCCTCTTTCCGGTGACGGGGTCGCCGGTCCGGTAACACGTGGCGAGAAGGCAGGAAGTGTAGTACGTGACGAAGGAGAATAAGAACATGACCGCCGGTCCGGCGACCCACCCGAGCTGCGCCGTCGCCCACGCCAACGACAGCACACCTGACCCGATAACTGCAGTTATTATGTGGGCACTTGCTGTCCAAACAGTTCCTGCCAAGAACACACACGAAAACACAGGTGAGTCTTAAGAATGTATGTCGAAAGCCTAAAAGGTAAGAAGATTTATCATTGATTATACTATGATTGATTACCAGTTCTTTTGAGGCGGCCATCGTCGTCGTAACACTTGGAGACAACCTGGGAAGGGACATTGATGGAGACATCGAACACCTGCTGCTGCTTTGATCCGTTGGCTTCACTCATCTTGAATTTCGTTCCAAAAACAATAAAATTTAAGCTCAGATGTTCAAAATGTGGGCAGTTAATGCAAAAGCTGTAGATTTTTTTAATGTTTTTCCTTAAAACCAGGAACACACTTCTCAACACTTTTCTTTCTTCAAGAACCCTAATTCAATTCTCTAAGCTCCTTCAATGGAGAAGAAGATTGTTAATGAATTAGGGAATGGAGAAGCAGGGCATATATAGGAAGAGAAATGGCTTGGAAAAGGTAGGAAACTAGCCAACAACGCGTATGAACAAAATTTACCCACAAAAAAAAAATAAAAAAAAATGTCAACATCTGCAACCCCACCACCGAAGCAGGGTAGATAGATACAGATATATACAACACCATGAACAAAAATCGCACCTTCCCTCCAAAAACCCACAAAAAAAGTGGGCTTTGGGAGTTACTACACGTGTCGAATTCTCAAGAAAGCAGCCTTCGATTTGGATTAGGATTATTACCCAGTTCAAGATTGCAGAAGAAATTATGAAGAAAGAAAGGTGGGATTTTTATGAAGCCTGGATGAAAGATTTGTGTAAGAAATGGTTTGGTATGTAAGAAATTTATGGTCCCTCAAAAATGGCATGGACTGAAACAAGCTAAGGTAATGGAATGTCACTTTTGGCGTGTTATCTTTCCCATGTGTTTTCTGCACTCACTACATGAACACCAGATCTAAGCACTACGACCATCGACCCCACCAAAAAAAATATTTAAAAAAATAATAATAAAGCATAGTTCATCAAAGATATCAGCACAAAATTGAACAAGAAATTAGAGTTGTAAGTGTTCTTACTGTCATTTGTAAGGAAAGAGACGATCGATTCTCTTCAGTTCTTCCAAAACAAAACCAACACTGACTGATGAGTATAAAAAAAGTTTAATTAATTTTAGAGAGGGAGAGAGAGTGAAGAGTATATTTGTGTGTCTAAATGTGACGAACCAAGCAGCAATATATATAAGTAGAAAAAAGTGGATTTTGGGATGATATTTTTAATGTCTCTTTTAGTGAGAACCTTTGAACGGCAATAAGTTTGTCTCTCAGCCATTCTTTTTTTTTTTTTTTTTTTTTTTTTGGGGAAATGAAAAAAAATAGAGAATATGGTTCTTCATTGATGTTAATAATGGATGGATCCTTCACTCAATTAAATGGTGGTGAATATGAAGATAGCTTGTAGTTGCAGAATTATTAATTGGGATATATATATATATATATATTATTTATAATCAAGATATATTTTTGCATCGAGGGACAGCTATAAAGCTTTATGTCAATCATTAGTCAAAAAGATTAAAAAATTAGATTTCTTTTTTGGGGATTGATAGTAATATTAATTTGTCCAGAAAAATCTGGTTGATACATGTGGTTTGTGGTTATATATTTATTATTAATCTTCCCAAAAAAAAAGAAAGATTAATAATGTTTGGACATCTAGGGGATAGAGTATGAGGAATTACATAAATTTAATCAAGGATATTATAAAGAGAGAAACATGTTTTTCTCATCAAAATTAATTTCGAGTTAAAAATAAAATTATATTTAGAAAGTTTTTGAAGCTTAAAATTAAGTTATCAAGTGATATTTTTATTTTTAAAATTGATCTTGAACTTAAATATGTATGTATATATAGCCAAATTGCTTAAACTCTTCTAAATCGAATTTTGAAATTTTTTCTTATTGCCTATTTATTATATATAAGTATATATATAATAAATAAATTTTCTTACAATTAATTTCTTTTTTTTTTTTTTTTTTTAGGTAGGTCAGTGGGAGTCTCAATCTTTGACCACACCACCAATAAGAAATGCTTAAGATTCTAAAAGTTGATTATCAATAAATAGTAAATATTAGAATTGTACCTATCAAAACACTTTTATTATTAAAGAGAATAATGCATTTAGGCGTTGAACGAATTGTTTTTCAATATTCATAAAGATAAAAATAATTAATTTGTTAAAAAAAATGTATATGATTAGCTAATAACAATTAATTTGCGAGATCATACCATAAGTTTTATTTTTGAGAAAAGGGAATGCAAAAACTTTATAGACATAATAATAAGATTAAGGTTTTATTCTAATGCATATAAGTGCATGTACAAATTAATTAATTAGAACCCTTTTTCGATATGGTTGGTTATATATCTTTAAAAAATGGAGTTGTGGTGATGAAATAGTGTTAATATTATATTACATGTGAAAAATGCATGCATGGCTGCACTAATTAGTCACATGTCGAAATTTGAAAAGCCAAATCCGCAAACAAAATACATAAATATATAAATAAATCTACTTGCACTAAATTTAACACAAAAAGTAACAAATTAATTATTAACATTTGATAGATAACAATCATCTCAACTCAATCCCAAAAAGCCATAAACTTAGGGTTCAACCAACACTCTTATTATTTTTTTTTTTAAAAAAAGTAAAATACATATGAGATAGAAAATTTATAAGTATTGGGCTCTTGGTTTATATAGGCAATTTTTTATTTTTTATTTTTTTTTTGTACTATTCAACCATATTATTTTTTTAAAAAAAATATATATATAAAATATATTTTATTCTCACAAAATATCATATAATATACTCAATTTTTTACTTATTTTGAAATTTTTCAAAATTTTAAATCTTCTATTTAAACAAAGTCTTTAAGAATTTTTTTTAAATAATAAAAAATTAAACATTTGATTTGATGTTTTTTACAAATATATATATATTAATGAATAGTACCAAAACATTTTAATGTAATTTTATATATAGAACCTTGTTTACTTTCTTATACCAACCCACCACGGCATTTTGTCCTTTCAAATGCACTAAAAAGTATTGTCCCTGTAGTAATAGATAAATGATTTGTGATTATTTCAATTTATTTACGAGTTAAAATAAGTTCGACAAACGTGAACTAGCTAGCTAGTGATCATGGGTTCAAATTTTCGACGTCTCTAGATTTTCTGTCACACTTATACATGGTTTGTCAAATTTAAATTCCTACATTATTTAAAAAATAAATAAATAAAAGTTGGACAAGTTGATAACTATGAAGCAATAATTATATAAAAGTGGTGAAACTTTAGAATTATTATTATTATTATTATTATTATTATTATTATTATTATTATTGGGATAAAGAATAAATTTAGGCAATTACAGTACAAGTATATATTCTGTACGTTCCCTCTTATCTCGAGTTGGTGATTAGAACAAAGATATACGTACATGTTATTACTTTTAGGACAGTCTTTTCTTTTTTCTTTTTTTTTTTTTTTAAAAAAATAATTCTCTTTTATGTACAAGTTTGTGTCACAACTTCAATCAATTTCAGGACAAGTGTCATCGTGCCCATACGTACCATTAAGTTAGAGAAATTATATCTAATTAATTTACAGAAGATTGAATTTTAATTTATGCCAGAGAATCAATACACCAATAATTGAACTTTATAATATTAATAAATCAGTTTGTAGTAGCAGTCAAAAGGGGTTTTTTTTTTTTTTTTTTTTTTTTTTAACTTAGCTGCAATATTTGACTCCCCAAAATATCTATTTTGAAAGTGTAATGATGATTAATTAGTACCTAATTAACTAACCAATTTTCTTGTAATAAAGTGTTTTGTTTGAAAATTAGTGACATGTCTTTATAAATGTCGTATGAGTTTGGTGAGATTGAGAGCAGTAAAAATAATCAATTTCAACTGATTTTGATAACTTATTTCAAAGTATTGCATAAATAATTCTTTTATGTTTGAAATTTTGTGACATGTGATTTGAAATTCATGTGAAGCAGCGAATAGTCACTGAATTTTTAAAAAGTAGCAGTTTAGAATGTCAAGAATTAATAATATAAATAATTAAGTGCACCACTTACTAATCAATCAATTATTTATTTATTTTTGAAAAATGAAATAAATTATAATGAAGATGATATAAGTAATATTAGTCTTATCCTCCAAACGACAAATTGGCAACTTGCAAAATAACACAAATTAAATACAGGTATGTGCAATAATTCATTTTTTTTTTTTTTTTGGCCCATGCAAGAATATGTGTTAGTTCAGCTTTCTTCAGTTGATATTTTATTTTTTCTTTTTTCTATTTTTTTTTTTTTACCAAAAATAAAAAGTAAAAATAGAGGGAGACATTTAATGTGAATTCCGACAATAAACAACAAAATTACCAGAGACATGAATATGACTTGTGTTTTTCCTTCACTATTTTATTCGTCCTTATTTAGGCAAATTAATAGTGATAGGATACGATTTTTTTATATATAATTAATTTATATGTTAAAATTTTAAATTTGGAAGTGATTTGTCCATGTAACTGAACAGACATAAATGCGCAATAAATGCAAAGATGAAGTGGTACTATATGCAATAATATGACAAAGAACAGTCAACTGGCTATACTCTCTCCATGCCCTCCTTACCCAATTTGTTTTGTTTTATTTTATTTTATTTTATATGAAAATTTAATATTAAATATATTTTAAAAACATGTATTAAATGATACAATTTTTGTTCTATTGTTTGTCTAATACACTAAACAAACCAATCACGATTTTTAATAGAGTTAACAATTATTTTTAAAAAATGTTATTTGAAGTATAGCTGCTTTATTTTCAGTATACTTTCAATAATAAAGTTCTTAATAATATTTCTCTAGAAAAAGATATTTGTTTTTTATTAAATGTAAGTATTAAATATAAAATCTGAGGGGTTTTAGCCCATTACCTCATAGTTACAAATTCAACTATTACACCACCGGACTATCCTTTACGGGACCACACGCACACAATTTCCTTTTTTAAAAAATAACACACAATATAAGTGTATGAATTTATTCCCATTATGTTTTTGTGGCAATATATTATACAAATGTTATTAAAAATATTAATATGTACATATATATTATCCATTTAGAAAAATTATTTTTTTAATATAAAATATTATTTTTATAATACAAATACAATTTATCATACTTTAACATAAATTATATATTCATATACAAATAGAGACTAAACACATTCAATATGATTCAAATGTGAACTCAAGATTCCTTTACTTGACAATTATTATACATGACATGAAATTAAAACCCAAAAAAATAAAAGAAGAAGTAAAAACCACTTTGGGGACAGAATTCATTAACATCAAACCAAAATAAATAAATAAATAAATCTATTATTATTATTATATGTGTTGACCAATGACCCAAAATGACACAAGTTAGTCAAGGCAAAAGACACAACACGAGAAAGTATTATTTGTTCGACAAAAATCGAGCACAGATAGATATGTCGCATTCAATTATTTATCGTGCAATATCAATACACGTTTACTGCTCATCATCGATCTTACATTAACGAAATATCAACGAAAACGACATCCACTTTATTAACACAATTAAAGATTAATTCATCTTTTGTCTACTATTAATTAAAAAGAAAAATTCATATTTACTAATTCATTATTTCGTTGCTTGTATTCATTTGATAAGAGAAAAAAAATATATATAATAATAATAAAAATAAAAATTATCAATAATTGAACATTACTAAATATATAGTATATATAATTCCAGGTATGTCACGGGGTGTGTTTCTTTTACAATTAAATTAAATTGGTCTAGCATAGAATAATTGGATTATTTCTTGTCACGGTTGTGTATTAAAAAAATAATAATAAAGACTTTGGAGGAGAGGATGCGGCAAAAAGTGAGTTATGCTTACGTGTGATGTTGATTTTTTGGAAATGTTGACCAAACAATTGACTTTTATAATTTTCAATCATTACAAAATTACAATACTAATAATAATAATAACAATAATCGGCCTCTTGAAAACGCTGCTGTTTAATTTAATTTAATTTAATCTGATAAATTATTGGGTTGGTTCAAATCGTCCAAAACTAAATAATTACTTTACTATTATCGTCATTATTGA